GTAATGGGAGATCTAAGGAAGACGAGAATTTAAAGTATCGTTATCTAACGTAAAGAAAAACTGTTTCCTCAATTCAGGATTATTCTAAGTAGTAACATTTTATAAAATTTTAAACAAAATCAGAGCTTAAAATGAAAAATTGCATTCATATAACGATGAAAATTGTTAATGGATATTAATTATTTGCCTTTTCATTTAAATAGCCGAATTATCTCATTTTGGTATCTTAAGAACATACGCTCATGGCGATACAACACTAGAAACAATTTTTATAAAGCAATTAGCGAAAACAGGAAATCGTTTAAATAACAGAAGGAATTAGTGATCTATTAGCAATATCAAGACTATACTGACACCTGGTGGCACTACGTAATAAGTAATAATAATAACAATAATAAGAATTCCGTATATCTACAGCGTAATCGTGTAACATTTCCCTTTTCATGTAGATTTATATTTATAAAATTAAAAGGTACAACAGACTACAGTACCATAAAAAACACACAATTAAATCGGTTTTGGCAACTACTTAAAAGTCAGGTACTACGGGGTTCTTACGAGCCTCTTTGAACCGCCGTCTCTTCTGCTCCCCGTTCAATGCTCGCGCTACTCAGTTTGATCCAATCAGCATCCTTCAAACACATAACGACATCAAGGGCGATTCAAAGGGTGATTGATGTTATCACTGAGGTTCCTGACAGTCCTCGATGGCGGACTACTGGCAAACTACTTGGAGAGTTGTTGTTGTTGTTGTTGTTGTTTCAAATAAGCACAATAAAAATGTTTTTATTTACAAACGATATCATGACACTGCACTTACCTTAGAGTTCTAAAAACATTTTATCAGACCCTTTTCAACAAAAATACTGCATAAAGTGACAATATAAGAAGTGTTCATATGATTAAATACGCTGTGCAAATACAGTAGCAACTGTTTAAGATTAAATACCAGTGTTTGTAACTTTTCTCAAGCATTTTGCATCTGCCAAGTGTATTTCATTTCGTATTTCACTTTAGGTGTAACCACCATGACACCATTAAACAGCTGCTTATCTCCATTATAGTGACTTGGGGTGAATTTGCATTAATTGCAGATCAGAGTTTTTATAGACTAACCTCAGCGTTACACCTACACCTCTCCACCAACATTGTGGAGCACATTTCCCCCTGAAAACAAATAGATTTACAGAACTAATAAAATGTAAACTTGTAAAACATCATAGAGTTATTTTATCTACATCTATAGCAAGCAGTTATAATAATATCTTCCCATCAACATTGATTAAGCAATAAAAGCTTCTAGCAAAGAGTACAGACCAGAACTCTCCAATTAACATTCAAAGGTTTCTTTCCCAACCAGTGAAACTGAGAGCTAGATCACTGCTTATCCTTCAGAACTCACAAGACAAAATGAATTTCATTTTGACCTACAGAGTCAAGTTTTGACCAAAGACTTACAAATCTGTCTTTGGAACATCTCAAAGTTTTCTCATTGCTTCGTGTGATTGATTTTAGACTCACAACAAAGTTAATAGGAGAAATTGGACAGGACTAATGCAGTTAGTAGACATGAAGAGTGGGTATCAGCATACGTGGGTTGACAACAGCAGAAAAGGAAGACCTTCTCATTTACTGAAGGCTGGCACATGATCCCTTAAGTGACCATTTTCAAAGCCGCTGCTAAAATCCAAACTCCTGAAGATGGCAGAACTCCTGGGCAAAAGAGTGGAGCAGCAGGAGAAGTCCAGGCACGGGCCGTTATGTGTGCACGAGACTGTCTCCAGAACAGCACAAGCTGGTCACACAACACAACACAGCCACTCTCAGTCTTTGACCTATGAGAAACTCAATTCAGGGCCATAAGCTACATATTGTGGAAGGATTATTCCTAACAATACATTCTGGAGGGCAGAACAGTGACTCAGTTAGCACTGCTGCCCTGGGTTAAACACTGTGTTAAACACAGTGCATAACACTGCCCTAGGCTAGGACTGCTAGACCTTCATCTGCTCATAGATAATTAATAATTATAATTATTAATTGTCTATGGACAGCATGTTGCACTAATGTACTTTTTGGACACTGCATTAATATACTTTGGTACTTGCAATCTGTATGTACCAATGCACATTTTGCACATATTTTATTGTTTTTACAGTGACTATAATCATCATATTTTGCACAGACCTATGTATTTTTTTAATTTATTTTATATTTATTTTGTCTTGGGCTGGGCTGCTGTATCACCTCAATTTCCCTTCGGGATCAATACAGTCTTATCTATCTATCTAAACTCCAGACCTGGGGTGCTGTCTGCGTAGAGTTCTTTATGTTCTCCCCACATTCACATGGCTTTCCTCCACTCCAGTGTCCTTCACAGGTTAACTGACTTCAGGGAAAATTGTGAGTGTGTGTGCCTGAGGTTGTGTCTCTGTCCTGCCTTGCGTCCATTGCATGTCGAGATCGAAGCCCCTGAATTGGAAGGAGCAAGTAAAAGATGGATGGATCAATTCTGGAAAGCAACATCCCCTCCCTAGCTGTGAGATACAGGTCCTATTCAGCCCTCACTTCTATGCTACCAACAGAAAATGAATTCAAGGACCACTTTTGTCTAATACCTTGAAAGATCCTTCTTGGTCTTCCATCGAAAACGTTGTTGGCCATTCTGAGCAACTGGAAAATGAAAAGACAGGCTTCTACCTTGTGTCTGGTCTGATACTGGCCTGATGAGTAATTAAAGTGATAAATCTGTCCACATGTACCAGGAAGGATGCCACAGTTCAGCTAAGTGCAGATACAGGAATTTCCACATTTTTTTTCCATTGTGACAGACATGTATCCAGATGTAGACAGACCTGGTCTGTCTAATAATTTTCACTGTCAATGTGTCTTGTAGCTCTGCAGCACCACACTCCAGTGACAACAATACAGGCTGGCTAATGCAGATGAAAGGCATGAGACTGATCTGGAATAGGAAAACGGAGTGCATGAGCAAAGAGTGAAAAATAGAAATTAGACTAGCGAACAGATTCCTCAGCCCTGCAGGTCACATGCTACCCTGTGAGCTGGCATGGAAATGAATGGACCATTTCAGTGACAGCATGTCCCCAGAGACCCTGTACATTCTTCAGCTGTGAACTGGATTTCAGAACTGACTACTGACTGGACATAAGGAAAGATACAAATGAGAGAAGGCCATTCTGCTTCTGTAGTTTGTTTGGTAGTCAGTAGCTAATAGATCCTTGGATCTATCGAGATCTTTCTTGAAAGAACTCAGGGTATTGGCTTTAGCAGCATGGTGGTAGCTTGCTCCATACTCCCACAACCCTTTGGGTTTAATGCTCTTCCATGCCGTTTCCAATCATGTTGTCTGGTTTGTATTTCACTGTTCATTCTGAAGAAGTCGGCAGGATTGACTGGTGAGGCAGAAAGGAAAATGTGTCACTGTTTAAGACTGTAGGTGAATCACAGCATATTAATCTGACGTACACACCTCTTTGGGGGGGCGAGGAGTGGACCTGAATAATTTAAGTCTTTTTTTTGTATCAGTTCTTTCTTTCTGGTATTCCAAATATGAAAGTAGATTGGTCGTCCAATGTCAGCTTGTATTTCAGCACAAAAAATAAATCAGTTAAGAAAAGCATCCAAGACTCTATCCATCATTATGAGGGTGCACCCTCATGATATATAAATGGTTTTTGGATATAAAATCATCAATATTTTTAGTTACTTTTTGTAAAAAGCTGCTGTCTATTCTTGTCCAAATAACGGAAATGAGATGTACATGAACTCAGTGGCCCACTGATGTTTCTTGAAGTGTATATCCAGTGCAGCTCTGAAAAGACTGAAGCTCGGTCTAGACAAGGGATGTAAAACACTTCAGAAGGAATCACGACAGATGTGTTCAAGTAAGTTTCAGAGGGGAAGGTAGCCATAGCAACAGAGGGCTATTTTAAATTAACAAGGTACTCTGAACTGTGTGTGTTGCACTTATGGCAGTTTTGGCACAAAATATATTTTTAACAAAGTGCTTTTAATTGTACATGAAGCCATAAATTAACGAAATCACTCCTTGAAATCTTTCTAAGACGTTTTAAGAAATAAAAAGAAACCCTGAAGATCGGAAACTGAAAGGGGAAATACTACTGCTATCACATTGATATAAGACTCAATGATTACTTGCTGTTGGCTATAATACTCAACCAGCCATAAAATGGAACCTCTAATCTTGCATTTCCTCATTGATTTAGTCGCAATAAAATGTCAACAGCTGTTACATCGATTCCCTCGCTGCAAAACATCACAGCATGTATTTTGTATTTACCAGTAAAAAAAGCTAGCTAGAAAACATTTCAAATTGAAAACATACAATTATGCTAGTATTTGTCAATGATCTTATGTAAAAAGTGAAAATGAAAGGTTGGTATGTAGAACAGTTACACCTTGTCTGAATTCCTTTCAAAATACAACAGGACAATTTCACTTTTTTCACGGCTTTTATTAAAATTGTAAAATACAAGAAATGGATAAAATGCAAATTATTCCAAAGTTAAAAAAACAGCATGCACAGGTATCTAAGTCAGGATTCAAATGACCTTTGTAAGGTATAAGCAAAAAGTATTCAATCAGCATGTGTTTGCATCATTAAAAACATCCTGAAAATATATATTTTCGGTTAAAAAGGTGTTTTACAATAATAGAATATCACTCGTGCTACGAAACCTTTCGGTGTGTTCAGACACAAGTGTGTACAAATTATTTCAAACAGGTAAAATTGTTAAAATTAAACAAACCCTCCATTTGTATAGTATAACATGCAGTTCATCAGAGGCTCTCCCGTGTCCGTGTCCAATACTTTTTGGGTCAGTATTTTAAATCTGTGTGTACGGCGCTTACTTTCCGAAGGCACTTTTCTTGTGTGTAAAGTGACTCATGGAATTCCACATCTCCAACCTTAGCTCTCTGGAGAATGGAGCTCCGTGGCACTCCCCCTAGGAGACCTACAGGGCCCTGTGCCCCAGATGTGGCTGAGAGCCAGTCACGGCTCTGATCTCTTCTGGCCGAGGCGAGAATGCAGACTGACTTGCGCTATGGAGGCCGTCGGCCTCGAGGTTTAATTGACCTGAGCCGAGACTGGGTGGCAGAGAGTCCGAGGTGAAGGCACAGCCAAAACGGTTCATAGAACGTTTGGGTTGGCTTGGGTAGCAGCTGCTGCCACTCCGCCTTGAGATCTCTGGGAAATCTGTGCCGTGTCTCAGAAAGGGAACATCCACGACACAAAGATCTCTGCACGAGCAGGGGGAGTCCAAAACATTTTGACCTTCACTCCGACACAGGTGTTTGCTCCCACGGAGCTCTGCTTTGCATCCAGAGTTGGGGTTCCAGTGGCCTGCGCTGCCATCCAACCTGGTACCCTCTTCCAAATCAGCTCTTTTTCTGGGAACATCGGAAATGAAGAGTCCACTTTGTCTGCTGTCATCGTTAACGTAGGCAAAAGCTGAATGCCTTCTTTTTTTCATGCGGAGTGTTTGAACCCCACAGATGCTGTAAGAAGACCCCGAACTCAAAGAAGCCCCTTCTCCGCAGCTGTTCTGACAGGCAACAGATGAAAGGGAGCTGCTCCTGAGCTGCTGAAGTTCACTGACACTTGCAATCAGTCTGGATGCTTCAGAACAGGGGTGCCATCTAGTTACCAGCTTGGAGATGAACTTCTCCAGCCTGCGCTGCTCTGAGAAAGGGATCGGCAGCTGGGAAGAGTACCTGGAATCTGAAGCAGAAGCAGGCGGAGAGCAAAACTCGGAACTGGGTGTACAACACGTTGTCGCGTTCGGCTGCAGATCTGCAGAACCCAAAGAGCTGTGCCTGCTGCTCTCTTCATTGAGCTGGTCTGTGGGAGACTGCTGCATCGAAGCCTGGCTGCTCTGTGGTGGTGAGTACAGAGGGCTCTGTAATGCCACAGCATGCAGAGGGCTGGGATAGTAATAAGCCTCTTTGGTTTTGTGTGAGACCAGATCCAGGCGGTATCGGCGTTCCAGTACCATCTGAGGCTGCAGTATAGACGATACAGCTTGCCAGTAAGACTGGGGACAAAGATCAGCGATTGACAGGAACCCACTGATGGGGCTCAGATCACGTGGAGAGGAAGGCACCCAGGAGTCTGCGGGCGTGTCTCTTCCCTTGCCCTCTCTGCCCCTGCCCCTCAGCGGCACAGACCGCTGCTTCAGGGTCAGATCTCTCCTGCCGAATCTGCCCTCCTCCCACCACTCCGAGCCAGAGGAGGCCTCACTGCAGAGCGAGGCGCACGAGTTCGAGAGGGAGCCGTCGTCGTCACAGAAACCAGAACTGGCCCGGGACTTGGAGTCCAGCTGCCTTCCCAGGTCTCCCCTCAGTGCGGCGCCGCCCTCTGCGCTCAGCTCCAGCAGGTGTTCTGAGGATAGGCTGGATTGGAGAGGCTGCCATCCGGGGGTCTCCGGTCCACCCAGCACATCCTGAGAAAGGCTCCGTGTCAGCTTCAGACTGGAGCCCCCCTCCAGCAGCTGGTACCGATAGGAGCCGTCGGTTTTTGAGTGCGGCCTCGCGGACTGCTGCTGCCACCACACCGCCTCCGATTCCGGCTCTGGGCTCCGGCTGTGCAGCGCCCCCGAAATCCCCAGAGCTGCTTCCACCATCTCCTGATGCTGTGACTTCAAAAGCTCCAACTCCATCAACCCAGCCAGGCTGGCCTGGAAACGTTCCTTGATGCGCATCCTGTCCGCCTCGGTCCACAGCAGGCTCTGTCTGTCAGTCCTCTCCGCAGAACTCGGCATGGTTTCACCCTTTGTTTTGGCCTGTCCCCTCCAGTTGCAGCCAGCTGCCCTCAGGGACTCAGGGTGTTTTGCCTATTTATCTACCCAGCTCCAGGGGAAGAGCAGCAGGGGGCGGGGTCAACACCTCTCTGCGCATTCATTGGTTGATGGGGAACTCGCACATTTCTCATACTGTCTGAAATGATGAAAGTACTGACGTGATGAAAGTTATGAAGGATTGGATTAAGATAAAATCATCAGAAGTTAAAAGCCTTAATTCTAGTGCTCTACAAAAAAATAAAATAAAAGCCTATCTTTCTAGCTTGTATGTAACTATCAGTATTTAACCTAGTTGTATTACCTTGAATTTTTATAATCTTCTGATTTTTATCTAATCTATATCGATATGTTATCAGCCAATATACTGTGTATCTGTCATGGCTGATTTAGACAATCATCCACACGAGAGATTAACGTTAGTGCTTTGCCATTCTATACGGAAATAAAGTGATTACTGAAATTTCTAAATTTATCAGCAAGCCGGTCCATGTAAAAATACAATAAAGCGCTTGATCCGGGCGCCCAATCTAGTGAATAAAGGATGTAAGGTAAAAATTATAACATACATGACGAAATATGGGGAAAAAAATATGGAATCGAAGGTACGTATGCACGTGCCCGAGGAGAAGTCAACACTATTCCAATCAATACAGATTTTAAAAAGTATTATTTTCCTACAAATAAGGAAAATTGAGGATAGAAGTAAGGGTGTCCCCTACCAAAGTTTTTTTCGCCATCAACTGTCAACCGTATAAAATATCAAGATATCACGATGCAAGATGTATCAGATGCACGTAGAAGTCAGATGCTTCAAGTAGGACAAGAAACCGTCCGCTGCAATACAAATAAACAGAAACATTGTGTATTATGTATAAACACACAATACGTAAGTTGCTACACTGTAGACTTCAGTTTTAAGCATTTTGTAAATAAAATATTTGCAATATATTAATACATGAAAAACCCGTTTACTGCTTACAATGTATTGCGGATGTCAGAGATATTTAACTTATTTTGCTCCAGCCTTAAAACGCTTATTCGAAAAGATTTATGAATTCAAATATGCAACACTCTTGACATTACACGCCTGCAGTTCTCGACAGTCATTCGAAAATGATTGATAAAGTGACACTCGTCCTTTGACCTTTGAATAGATACTAAAGACATTCGAATTGATAGCCAACTATTGTATCCAGTTACACAAAAGATCGGAAAACAAGCGCTATGATGGAACCAATCACTCTATAAAAAGAAGTAGCAAATGGTTCTGATGTGCTCATCTCCTTATACCCCTTCGAATGCTGATTGCCACCTTACAAACGACAGACCCATTTCAAAGAACAAAGAAATATGACGTTTTCACTCTTTGACAGACGCCTGACGGAATTCCAGCACCGTCTCGAAGAAGCTTTTGAAGTACCATGTCTGCAAATGAAAATCTTAATTTTTTTAAGTTTGTGAAACTGAAACCGATCTATGCGATTGTATTCGTCTGCTGTAAACAAGAATTTCTACAGAAAACATCGCGGGACGCTATAAATACACAACGAATAGGCTGAATTATGATGAAATAAGATGTACTGCTATTAATTAAATACACAATCACAAATAAACGTTTTTCTTTTAAAGACCTGAATTTAAACGCTAACAATATATCGCGTTCATAAAACAAACCTTCAATACAATCTTACTTAATATGTTCAAGTGTATGTGAAACAGTATTACAAGAAACAAAACTTTGCTCGAAATGTTGTACTAAGGTATATAAAAAAGTCTTGATTTTGATTTTTATAACCTCTTTAGAATGTCCCATTAAAATCGCATACATTTATCTGTTTCACTCCACAATACTTTTCTTTAAAGTCGAAGGTATATTTGGTATGAGCAGTTGGAAAAGTATTATAACGTTTTTTTTATTTTAAACATCAGTGATCTGTACAATAATGCTTCGATGAAAGTTGCAAGAAACTAAACCTATCCCCTACGTATTTTGAGTCAACAAAGTTGTCTGAAGTTTATTTTGACAAGAAACACATATAACAAAGGGAAAACTTCCCACGAACCGGAGTAACACCTGCTCAGTTTGGGCTTTTTCAACACGTAAGGAAATTAATTACTGCACATTGGGAGAATTACAGTCACCGAAGCTGAGACGTAACAGTGAGTGAACATGCTAAAGGGGAAATAAACCTATTTTCACCAACCACTCGACGTAGGAAGACGGTAAATTGAAAATATCGACAAGTAGTGGCACTAAATAGCAAAATATGTACATGTAACATGTAAACATGTTAACTGTTCCAGTAACAGCTTGAAAGTCAATGCTGCTGAAATTAAAATACTAATAATTTTCTGGGCGGTCTTTATGGGTTCTCGAAGGTTACATGTACTGTATGTAAGTTGCTCTACAGAAAGAAAAACAGACCGGTTAACTTGGTTTAGTCAGGGGATTTAAACGCACAGCCCAAGACAGGGGGCGCCACACGCACACCGATAACAGTCACATTTCTTTTCATGGATTCAAAAAAAAAAACTTTTGGCCAGTCTAATAAAAAATAAAAAGCCAAACACAAAAGGCTATATTTCGTGTACATTTATTCCCTAATAAATTACTCAACATATGCATAAATACAGATGACGCTGTCATTTTGTACACACGAGTAAAAGGTCAATTTCTGGCAGATTTTCACTCGTCAGCTTCTGACTCCTCCTCATCCTGGCTGATCTGGAAGTAGCGCAGCTCGTAGCTCTCCTTGTCCGAGGCAATCACACGCAGCCAGTCGCGCAGGTTGTTTTTCTTGAGATATTTTTTGGTTAGGTATTTCAGATACCTGAAAAGGGCAAAACCAGAACATACTTGACTTCAATCTCAAAGCCCAACGTTTTTAGGTTTCAATTGGCTTCTTGGGTCGGGAACTTTAAATGTTTCTTGTATCATTTGATTCTTTTTCAGCACCTTAATAATGCAGTCCGACTTGGAAGAGAGCAGATAATTTGCTCCTTCAAATTGAATTTGCCATATACCAATTATATGGCTAAAAACCTATAAAATAAAATAACATAGATTTTCAACCGCAGGAATTCTGCTCAGGATTTTACTCTTTGCATCAGGTAGGAAATCTAGATCACAGTTTTCTAAACAAAGATATAATAAACTTGGCAAACCTGCTACCTATAGCACACACATGCCAAAACGCACCTCTTGGAGAACTGTTTCTCGGACATGACACTGATCTTATTCTTCAGACGGGTAATTTGGACAGTGCTGCCCAGGTTTCCTGTTTTGCCATTGACTTTGACCTTCTCCTTCAGAAATGTCTCCTATTTAAAAAGAACAGAATCATGGAATACTAGGGAAGGGAACCCTAGCCCACCACTAGGGAAGAGAACCCTAGTCAGGACACACAATTAGCAACACAAAAAGCAAAGTGTCAGCAATCAACACACAACACTCTCGGCATCAGTCTGGACTGCGGAAGCTCTTGTCTTGACTAGTAACAACCACAGTCCTCGTCTTTCACTGTGGGCCATCAGTCAAACAAAGCAAATACAGAACAGGCACACAACCCACAGTTTAAGATGTTAACTACACTGTCTCCCTGATGGGACCATTATGTATTGCTGATGCAGTGGAATCAGCTGTGATATTCCTTGATATAAATCACTGAGGTTTAGGCTGCTGTTTCCCAATTATCTGAGCTGTAATTTTCACAATTCCGGAAAATCTGGACAATTGAAAGTTCTAGAGTCTTAGAATTAAAAATTGCCTCTGATTTGCTTTCTTAAAAACATTGTCGGCGTTCGCAGTGTAACTCAGCCTCTGGTCAATATAGCTCCCAGATATGTAAAACTCTCCACCGCCTCTACATTAAGTACTATCGTCTGCAAAGGCCGCCCACCGTCGGTTTTAACAGTGCAAATAAGCTCTGTAGTCTAGGTCACATTTATTTCCAATGCAACATTAGACAAAGACAATTACATTTTTAATGTACTTAAATTCAGATATAAGAACAGGTGTTATATCTGGATATTTTCATTTCGGAGCCTCTCTCAGTTCCACTTACAAAGTTTCCAGAGTCCAGGATCCCATCCTCTACGGGGTGAGTGAGGTCGAGCGTGAATTTCCAGGAAGGCCTCTTTTTGTCCTTCCTGGTGACATTTTGTCTTTTCTAAGGTAACACAAAGCACAAAGGTGTGAATTAGCCTCCTATCACTCAGACAACTAAATAAAAACGCTCACTCAATGTAAGTCACTATAGTCAAATGATTTGAATTAAGGTTTTAGCTAAGTTACATCACAAAAAATCGATATAAATACAGCAATGAAGAACACGTGACATGTTTATGTTCTGGTGCGTTTAGAAAACAAAATGCCGCAAAATCTCCTTCTGCTTAGAATTACTAAAGCATGAGTTAATCAGGTTAAGGGAGATCTGTAGTCCAATTAGTTATTAACAATTATGCGGAACCTGAAGGATCGATGCAATATAGACATGACGACCAAATAAACCAGATCAGTCTGCTTTACTGACAGAGGAAGAAGTAAAGGTTTATTCCATGCTGAAATGAAAAGAGACAATGTTTTGGCAGTAAAGCCTTCTTCAGCTGTCAAGGCCTTTGCCACCTACGGGTGTCGAGGTAAACAAGTGAAAAACAGCTCATGGAAAATTTCAGCACTGCAGGACATCGCAAAATAATAATAATAATAATAATAATAATAATAATAATAATAATAATAATAACAGTAAATTGCCTTTCATTAAAAATTGTCTCAAGCAAAAAGGTGTCTTAAAAATACAGAAACATACATTTACATTAACAATTATAGGAAAGTAAGTTTAGACAAGCACATTATAAGAATGAAAAAGAGAGACTAAAACTTTGCTCATTTTAGAACCCAGCATTCCACAGTCTTTTTGCACGGTAAGAAATCTCCGTAATTCCTAGCTTGTGGTCATGTTGAGGAGACAGGGCCTCAGAGGACAAGGGAGTGTGGTCATAGGTGTACGTTCTCAAGAGGTCAGGGAGAGATCCCCTTTATGGCCTTCAATGGCAACAGCAACTTTGGTCTTTGTGAATGCCAACAGGGAGCCAGCGCAGGGATTCTGAGACAATGGTTAATTAAGTGATCGACAGAAAGTGAGATTTTGTAAGGCAAACCTTGACAACCTTTTCATGTGGGGTATTACTATAGTCATGACAGCTAGACTTTCTGCATTGGCACATACAGATTAGAACATATCTGAGCTTATTAGAATTGAACTGCTGCACATGTGGCTCAAAAGCTCGACGTGTGATTTTAACACAAAACTCAGCGTGTATAACTAATAAGAGTGAAGTAGAAACGAAAAAATTGATAACAAAAGACAAAACACTTCAAACATGTTCAATTATGGAACAGCATAAGCAGGAAACAGTTAAGCAATGAGGAAGGTGTCGGATGATTTAGGAAATTAGATTTCTGCTAAGTTAAATTACAAATAAAAATTCTGGAAACGCAGCAATTAAAATATGCAAAATGTTTATGTTTATTTTAAGATATTTAGTAAACAAAATTCGGCATTATCTACATCTGCTTAAAATAACTAAAGCATAAGATTAAGGTAGATTTGTTGTACAATCGATTATTAATCTAAACGAGGAAACTTGAATCTTAGGATCGACTTAATATACACGACATGTATATATTGATCAAAATCAGGGATTGTATAAGAATGAAGAGTACAGTACAATCCATTCATATGGATTTAAGCACAACCTAATTTTATTAAATTGTTCAGGACAGTGAAGAGTACAGATGTGATTGTACACGTGTTGAACAGGGCTGGGGAGAAGTGTCATTCACCGGCACTTCGCTGCTTAATTTTTAACAAATACTGCAAGCAGAACTGTTTTGAAATTCGGAGGCTTCACTCGCTTTCTAGTAGTATATTTAAATGAGCTGCTAGAAGACACTCATTTCCATCTTTCTAATGAAAGAAAGCCAGTTCACTTCTTTAAAGCAAAGGAGCTCTTCGTACTCACCGGCGACATATTGCCCTAGCTGAGCTGCAAAAGGAAGTGACGTTCCATCGCGTGAACCTTGTGGGGGTTGACGTTCCCGGTCAACCCCCAATGACGTTCCCGGTGCCATGTGTCTGTATGCCAGTAAAAGGGAGGTTGAAACATTGTATAAATGTGTTAAGCTAGAGGTCTTATTCATAATTTAAATATTAAGTACCGAATTTGAACTGTAGCTAAATTTTCATTAAGTGATTTTATTATGCAGCAGGTTTTTGCAGGGCAATACAGATAGATAAGATGCTGGATAAAGCCATGTGCTTACGGTATGAAGCTCAGCTCAGAGGAATTGTGACATTTTTTATGCTGCAATGCTTAGCTTAAGTCTGATTTCATCTAGCAATCAATGAAAATGCTTTCAATTAAAACATCTTCAGGGTGGGATGACCATTTGTTTCTGCGTTTGGTGTGCAGCTCTTCACATGTTTGCATTGAATGACATAAATGAAGTGTTTATATCAACCACAGTACCTGTTTCTGAAACACACCGTGAAAGCCTTACTTCAGCAATGAAAGAAACAAAAGCTCTAGGGACAATAGTAGTGTATTTTCTTTATCTGTCGCACTTCCTGCACAGATACAGATGTGAAATACATTGGACCAGGGGCGTAGCTACCGGACCAATAAGAAAATTATGTAAACCTAGTAGGGGCGGTGCATGCGTAGCCGTAACCTAATTGGCTATCTTTGTCGTCAGCCGCTTAGAGCTATTTAGCGGGAGGTTTTTGGTTTATTAGCCAACATGGCAAAACAAATGCATATATCTACGTTTTTCAAAAAGCCGCCTGTAGATGACCAGACCAGTCCCGAAACAAATAAGACACATGAGATGCTACAGGCATCTTGGGTTTTAAGGAGTACAGCCTGGCTTCCCGGATACAAGTGTTTCTGAAAAGCAAGGGGCAGTGCACGCGTTTGCTTGTAGCAGCTCGATACATGTTCGACCTGTAGGAGTTAAGCACGAAGAGGTTCTAAAATTTATCCTGTAAACAAATTAAAAGTTTTGGAATGCATGAATAACATTTAGATAATATTGACGGATAGATGCAAGTGTGCATTTTATAGATAACTATTCAGATCGCCTCTAAATGCCGTGCAATATTTTAAGTGAACGACATTTACAGAGCTAAAATACATCCAAAGTATCTGACGCTTTTATTAGCAGACCATTCTTGTAATTAAAGGTACGATTAATTGGTTACCACTGTAATGCGACTATAACAATTTAATGTTAAGTCTTGTGGGAAGTCACGAAGTATCAAATTAGGTGTCTTTTGGTATCGAAAATAGAATACTAATTTCGTGGGTTTCATACAAGTTTAAAAGCATCATCAAGGATCAAACAAGATCTTCAGAACTTAATATTTTAATATCTTCGCAGTTTTTATTCTCATGGCGCCTCACTCGATATTACCCTTGAGGCGATGTATTTACTCCAACTTCTGAAACCCATACGCGCCTGCACGTTCTTCTGGTATTATGCTCAAGTCCGCTATATTTCAAGGCAAGGTAAAAGTTCCGTGAAGTTGCCCCCCTACAGACAGCACAAACGATTAAACTCACCTCATTCGTTAACGCTACGTTTGTGCTGGTTTCGTTTCCGAGATATAGCGCTTTGTTTTTCGGGGTCGAGACTCACTTAGCCCCCCTACAATGTCGTAGGGAAACCAAACCGGTCTCATTTTCCGGTGATAACGTGACCATGCAGTGACGCCGTCTGCCGAGTTCAAGTGCTCTGTTACAGTTTAGCTCGTACCCTTAACATTTTAAAGACAGTCAATATCCATAAACATATGAGCCTCCTTAGATGTGAATAACACCAAGACATGACGCATGTCAACAAGTTAACCATCTATGACATAAACCTGTGGTAATGTAATGTAATGTATGTAAAATCACCGTGATTGTAAGATCTATGGTTTTTATTTTCTAAGGCACGTTTTCCTTTCTTTCCCTACCGTGACACGCTGTTGCCAAACGCATAACTCTGACTCCATGTCTATCGCGGCAGTGTATATCACGACTGGCGCCTTGCTTCCATGCCACCCTGGCACCGCTGTCGCAACAAAGGTCTCATATCAGGACATGATATACCCAGGGTCGGGATATATGGACTCCATGTAGCGACATGGGAGTGGGCGTTTTGTCGGGGGCACGCAATATCGCGATATATTGACACCATGTCACGATATGGGGGTGGACGTTTTGGCTGGCATGTCACATCGCGATATAGGGCCTTTCATGTCGCGACATGGGAGTGGGTGTTTTGTCGGGGTGGGGGGAGGGTACGCCATATCGCGATATGCGGGCTCCATGTCGCGACACAGGGGCGGGGCGTTTTGTCAGGGTATGTCATATCGCGATATATGGACTTAATATATCAGTCATTGCCAGTCGCAATGTGTATGGCGATGTGATCGTGATGCCCGCACTCTTATCGTGACATGCTATCGGAGTCGTGAACGCGCTGTGGATGCCATGCCATTCTTTGTCTGCTATTCAGTTTTGACCTCAGTGCGATTTCTCTTAGAATGATTAGTAATTGGAAACCAATGGATGTGTTATTGTGTATCCAGCGTGACAGTTAACCGGGGCGACAGTATTTGGACCAAGAAGAACATCAATCACCTGTGTATCTACATGTTCTCGGAACTTCCGCTGTGGCTCTTTACCCAATCAGAGTGTCGACTCTCACTCTTCACCCAATCGCGGCCCGAACTGTTCGGGGGTTTAGCCAATCACGGATCTGAGAGCTGTTCAAACTAGCAGCGCCAGGTGGATCGGCTTGTTTACTGTCAAAGCTAATCTATTTTTAAAATGCTTTACTTATTTGCAAAATCACTACATCGGCTTATTTTTATTAACATCTTTATTGATTCACAATGTCCCGTACTCTTCGAAATAAATACATTTATATTTGCAATATAACTGTCTCCGCTGCTTTCTGTAATGCATACATGGTATTTGAACAATTTTAATGTATATTTAAGGTAGGGGAAACACCTTCTGCTTTGTACTTAAAAAATGAATGGAAATGTCTATGATCATTATATTATTATGCTCGTGCTTTCAATTTTGTTTTTTATTGTTAAATTATATCGATCTTGAAACCAATACCTAAAAATGTGAATATGGGCTCTCGTGTTGTACCAGTGGTAATGTGGAAACTGTTGTCTCTTCACCAATGAAAGGAGTACACAGACAGTACATTTTCGAGAACATGGTTAAAAATGAAAAGAAAACACCTCACCCAATGAACTAACATAGTAACTCCTCCTTAAATGTAAGACTGTTTATTCGCGTAAAGACTGCAAAGTCTGGGGTCAACTGATCAAAAGATCACAACTGAAACGATCTGGTGGTCGTGACTTTGCTGTTCTGTACGTCACAGTCAGGAAAAGAAGGCGCTATATTGAAATATATTGAAACATCCACCCCACCCGACCAGACAATTTGTTTGGTTGTTTTCGGAAAACAAATTGCCCCCATTGTTTTTATCACAATAAGAAGTTCTGGTACCGATTTTGTTGGTACCTGTAAACTTCCTTGTAGATAGTCACGTGATTACCCGAAAAACCAAGGCGCTATATCTCGGAAACGAAAGCAGCACAAACGCTACTTACAGCGACACAAACCGGCACAAACGCAGCACTAACGATTGCGGTGAGTTTCTTCGTTTGTGCTGTCTGTAGGGGGGCCAACTGCACAGAGCTCAAGGTAAACCCTGTATGGTATTTTAAATACAATATTTCGGACGGATTTTGAATCTTGCGTTTTGTGTTGTGTTCACTGTGTTTTGCAATAAAATATTAACTTCAGAGTAACTCGTAAAACTTCTGAACAATCTAAAATCAGGCATACGAATACACAGAACTGCTAAAAGCAACAAATGAAAATGAGCTCTTGCAGCTTTTCTTTAGCTGAAGACAAAGTCCTCATATGAGAGACCCTTGCGAACTAGCTGTTATTTGAATGGGAATTTGCCGACTCTCAGACAGTGACGAGATAATCGCCATATCCAGTTCCAAGCAGTCTAGAAGGCCAAAACCTCACAACAGAGGTAGGCACTGGTTGTTTTTTTGTGTGTCCGCCGTGGCACAGTAGCGTTCGCCAGCCTATGTAATTGTTGCTTAACCCGTGTGTGTGTGTGAGAGAGAGACAGACAGTATGTATATATAAGGTTCCGCTAATTCTGCTGTTGTCTTCGTGTGTGGCGTTCTGCTGAGATTGAGGTTGAGGTATTACAGCCATCGTCTTAGTGATCATCGGTAAGGAAAATCCGGTTACTGTTTCAGTTTGAATGAGAGGTAATAAACACGAGACTTCGCCAAACAATCACTGAATGTTCTCTGAAACCAGTGGAACATCTTATTTGATGGGAGTATATCAACACACATTTAGTGTACATTAAATATTAAAAGGTTTCATTTAAAAAAAGAGAAAATGTAATAATTATATCCTGCTTTTATTGCCCCCTTAAATTGCTCCCATGGTGATGAATAAAGTATTGTGGCGCGGTCGCCCGGCGTTGCAGCCGAAGAGCGCCCGGCTGAGGTGCGCGGTGAAGGGCAGGACTTGAGGAGGAGCCAAAGAGGGACTGAGGGCTACCGGCCGGGGCGGGTTCACTGTGCAACAGCAGGGACGAGCGTGAGGAGGAAGCAGAAGTGAGCGCCGCGGCCACATCCCTGAGCGGACCGTTTGGCGTGGACCTGGCTCAGCAGCAGGGGGCGGACCCCGACATTGGGCTGGTGCTCCGCTGGAAGGCACGGGAGGAGCTCGCCCTTCACCCCAGGTCCGTGAAGGCTCTCTGTGCTCTGTGGGAGGCCTTGGAGGTGCGGGACAGGGTGCTGCTCTGGGGGCGGTGGCTACCATCCAGCGGCGAGGTCAAGTGGCAGCTGGTGGTGCTGCAGTCGCTCTGCGGGGCGGTTCTCCGGGCGGTGCATGGCCAGCTGGGCGTGGGGCATTTTGGCTCCGCGAAAACCCTGCGGCGACTCCAGGACCACTTCTATTGGAATCTCTGCCATTGGGACGTGAAGCGTTTCTGCCAGGCGTGTGCGGTCTGCGTGGCTCAGAATTGCCCTCCCAAGCGCCCTCCAGCAGCACCAGGTGGGGGCGTCCATGAAGCGGGTGGGGGTGGACAGACAGAGCCCGTTTCCGTGCACTGAAGCGGGCAGCCGCTACGTCCTGGTGGCGGTGGACTATTTTACGAAGTAGCCTGAGGCTTCTGCCCTCCCGGATCAGAGCATGAGCACCGCGGCCGAGGTCGAGGCCCTGTTGGAGGCATGAATCGCCAGGCTGGGGGTGCCGGAGGAGCTCCATAGCGATCAGGGGCGCAACGTCGAGTCCCAGGTGTTGGCGGGGGTGTGCCAGCGCCTGGGGATTAAGAAAACGCGGACCACCCCGCTGCATCCGTTTTCATAGGACACTCTTCACTCAACTGGTCACCCTGGTCTCGCGGCACCAGCGGGACCGGGACCGCCGCTTATCTTTCGCGCTTTGGGCATACCGGGTCTACAACCTGCAGCGCCGCAAGGGCCTCAGCCCGAAGCTAGCACTGGCGTGGGAGGGACCCGGGGAGGTCGTGGAAGCGGGGGAGGGTGATGGTCCTGCACCGGGACCGCCCGGCTCCCTTCGGGGCTCGTGAGGGGGCACTGGAACGGGAGGGCGCATAGGAGCCCAGGGAGCAGCCAGATCCAGATTCCTCCGGCCCGGGGGGACCGACCACCAGACTCCATCCCGACACAGTGAACGACTGCGGCCTTGCTGGGTTATTCAACGTTGGCGGGACATCGGACGTCTCAGGTGTGGGCAGTGTGGCGCCCTCGCTTGCCGTTGCGGCCGCAGAGTGCCTGGCTGAGGTGCGCGGTGAAGGGCAGGATGTGAGGAGGAGCCAAAGGGGAATTGGCGGCTACTGGCCAGTGCGGGTTGACCATCTGGTGCGGTTGCACATTGTTCTGAGCTGCTTGGCTGACAGTTATTCCCGGTTTACATCCTTTTGTACCTATACCCCAACTGACCCTAGTCTGTTATACCCCGACTACGCTGTCGTTGCTGCTGTGCCGGCAATAAAGAGCGCTTCCATTCTAAAAAGAGCCTGAATTCCTGTCTGCATCCTCGTCAACCCCCTCTCGCTGCAGTATTTTGAATTGGATTTCTTTACTTTTTATACGGCACGGTCTTGTTGTCCTATCTAGTATTACAGAGCAGATCAGTAATGAGCAGTACCACCCTGAACACGCACACAAAAACATGTTCCACCCACACACGTTTCAAACTTGCCCGGAGAACAAACCCTCTTTTATCATTTTAAAACCGTATACTCCCAACCCCATCTGTCATTTCTTTTGAGAACAGGATTTTCTCCTGTATTATCCCTCATGACTCCCTGCTCTTGGTCTACAGTAACTCCAGGGAATTTCTCACGTCTGCGTGTGCTTGCCTCACCTCTGTCACCCCGTTTCACATACTGCCTACACCACGAATGTGACACGAGAGACTGCAAGCTGCACAAATGAGTGATCTCGCTGTCATACATTTACCTTTATGTAAAGCTTTTAAATAAAATGCTTTGTTTTAGATATGGACTTCCAGATGGAAGTATAAAGCACAGCCAAGGCGGGGTAGAAATGAGGTGGATGGGGGGAATACAATCTGAGGCCAGTTTTCCTATTGAGACAGCACACATCTTTATCACGTGACGTGAGAGGTGCTTCAGTCCGTAGTAGCCTTTTATGAGATTGGTATCCAATGCATTAGGACATCTGTGAAAGGAGCCTGATCCCATCTTGCTCATAACATACACATTAGCAACAGAGACACTCCATGGATAAATGACTGTTTGATCAAGTAGAACTGTTCTCAAATTTGAAAGGCTAGATATACACACTTAGTCAAAAAGCTAGCTTAGTCAGATCAATTCCCACTGGACCCTTCTTTCCAAAGATTGTTGTACACAGCGATGATATGCCTCACTTACACAAGTCCTATGTGAAAACCAACTGGATTTTATCAGTGAGCATAACATGCATATAACTCAGAAGGCATATCACTTAATTTGACAGCTGAAAAGTTTTTCACAGCTGTATTAACAGCAAAAGGGTTTCAATACCGAGTACCACGAATCCTGCACAACCTCAGTCAAGTTTCTCTTTTCACCAGAGGCAGCCAAGGTGCTGTATATCTCTTCCTATAAATACATTTTGTCCAGCAAGCAGGTTTTGTTTTTAAGGATCTGCAGTTTCAAATACACTCATTTAAAAATATTTTTAAGGCAGTAATAACAGTAGACAACGTGGAGATTAGTACTTAGTAAAAGTTGTTTTCTTCCTCCTAGGCTTGTAATGAACTCTAGTCCACACCCCATCTTAACTGTTCTGTGCTCCTGACTCCCCTCTGGTCAATACACTCAGTTGCTCATACAACATTCTTGGCTGACTGCCCGAGGCCAGCTGGAATCTAACGACTGGAATGAGGGCTGCTCCAGGCCTACACACTGTACCGCCGCCTCCCTCAAATTCACACTACTTCATCCTTTTTTGGTATGGCAGCTTCGTGTTGTCAGTCAACATGGTTTCACATTTAAAAAAACAAAACATAACCGGAGGGCTTGCAGGCTTCCCTGTAACTGGGGGAAAAAAGTTTAAATACATTTGTTTGGATACTTAATGGCATCCGAGTTCTGCATTCGACTAATTTTCATACATGTGTTTCAGGCTGTTTGCTTAGTAGAACCGTACCCAAATTTCTAGATGTACATATTTGAAAAACTAGTTGATTCAGACCAATTCCCACTGGACATTTCTTCACAAATTAACATCCCAGCAATAGGACTGTTGATTATCTGCACTAATTTGCAGATGTCCAGTTTACATTCACAAGTAAGACTCATCATCTACGAGATATAAAGTTAAAATGCAGTCCATAAAATACTCAGCATTTGGAAAGGAATACCTATTTTGAAAAATGGAAAAAAAGCCTCCATTTGTGATCTCATGGCCTGCTTACCTCAGTCTTTTAAGGTAAGAATCTCCATTTTAAACTCCACATCTTTAACTCCCATTCTCAATGTTAGATGAATAGCATTGAAGTAGAAAGGCGTGGTATAAAATGAGTCATCTAGCAAGTTTAAAATGGTTGTTTTACTGCCTCTCCTATCCATCACACCCAACAGTCATCACAAATGCTTTAAGTTTAACGGGAACCAACTAAATTGTATACTTCCCTTAAAGGTAAATGTCAAAGTATTTACAAAGGTGCATTCTTATTCTCTCATTATGCATGGATTTGCATTTTTTACCACATTATTTTGTATTATACATTTAAAATGCATTAAGGACTATTATCCAATTACATTTACACATTTTATGATTGTTACAAGTCATAGTGCGTGCTTAACATTTCCTTTATCTGGATTAAAGGTTTTAAAAAAATCATTTTTGAAGACTGCAGAAGAGTTCTGCAAGAGTATTCAGACTGACAGAAATCCATCACCATTTCAGTTAATATGCTAAGATCCAAATAACCAAAAAATTTTCCTCTGGTAAGTCTTTTTAATATGTATTTATTCTGGCATTTGCACAACTGGACAATTTTCTAGCCATGCAACAATCTGCTCTCAAACAGTCAAGAAAGTTTCATTTGGGACACTTAAGACATGAAGACGAGCAAGGTAATATGATTTGTTTTCTCCCCCCCCAACAGATGCTACTAGACTCCCAATTTTTCCATGTTGATAACTGAAACTTTATGCATTCATGACGTGGCACCTTAATTGGCTTTTTACCTGACCCATTTCAGGTTGTGATATTTTCTATAAAGATCTAAAAGACTAAAAAGCAATGTGGAATTTAGACCAAATTAAGTGAAGATGCAATGCCTAAAGTACACTACAAAGCAATTTTAGCTCATCTTTCTTTTTGGATGACTCTTCTGTATTACATATAGCATTCAGATGTTCAGGAAACTTGTAACATTTCCTCAAAACCTTTACAGACTATTGTTTTAGCCAACGGAAAGAGGTCACCTAAGTTTTATTCATTTTCCTAGAATTTTAGAAATGGAAAATGTAAAAACTAATGACCCATCCAGGAATGGTCTCATTTGAGAACCAAGTACCAATTTAAAATAACTGACATCAATTTATGCATTTAAATTATGAGAATACATGGAAAGCCATACATACTAAAATGTTTAGACTTCATGGAATAACCTTGTGTATATATGCATAAAATAGGTGAGGTTAAAATCTAATTTTCATCAGGGATACACCAACATTAAAAACACTCAAGCAACATGGGTGTCAACATATTAATAAAACAGAAGAGCATACGCTATGTTTTGTTATCTTTATTGCTAATTAGTCTCTTTCTATATATATATACTTCACCAGATATTTATTATAACTTTAATGAGCATTTATCTGATAGCAGTCACACCAAAATTTAAACAGTACTGCCACCCCCCAACACAGTACATACAAATAGGCATTATGAACTTTGCCATCTGCTTGTACCTCTTTCCATTTGAAAATTCAGATCGAAATACTGGTTAAATCTGCTTTGCTATTGAGCTGTCTGGGATTTATGCTTTTCTGCAATAATTAACAATTGCAAAACATTGCTACAACTAATTGAACTAGTTGAAAGCTACAATGCAAGAACTACATACGATTTTCTGGGAGCATTTTTTAACTTAAACCAAAGAGCAATTTTGACTTCTAAACTTATTGCATACAATCAATTTCTTTGCTTTCAACAAAAACCCTAGCATTTGAATAAACTACCAAAACCTCCAAGTAACAGATCCCCAAATGAAGTCCACTCCATCAGCTCCCAGAAAGCTCAATCATACAATTGTGGTGAAAGACTCACACAAATAAGCCTTAGAACCTTATTTGGCGTGACTGTTATATAATTTCCACTGAGCTCAACTGTCTTAGTTACAGCAAAATTTAAAGTCACTCTGGAAACCCAAGATAACTTGCACATTCAGAATGAAAACAGCCTTTTTCATTAAAATGATTTAACAAAACATTTTGCAGTTTGTATTTTAAGCAGTTAAGTCTGGTACTTGCAATAAGCACCACCTGCTTAAAATAAATGAGTGTCCAACACCAAATAAGATACTGCTCATTTCTTGAAACCCCTTTGTTTAAACTAGTTTTAAAATAAATGTTAAAAAACCTATTCAACATTAAATTACATTTAAGAAGATAAGGCAAGTTCTTCCAAGTTTTAACAAATCTGGCTTATATTGAGACTATCGTTTACAGTGGTATCATCAAGTCTGAGGGACAACAACCCATGAAGACACAACAGAATCAAGATGAGCAAGTGATTTGACAAAAGAAAAACCTTGTTTTCTATCAGTTCATGTTTAAAGGTATTTTCAAAACAGTTGCATTCACCATGACTAAGAAAAATTAACAAGCAGTCTTAGTAGCTGAGGCTTTTCATTTTAAAAGTGTCACTGATGGCATGTCTAAGCACACGTATTTGGGTTTTTTCTCAACAAGAAATAAAACTAAATAAAATTGGTGCCATTCTTGTTACCCAAAGTCTGAAAAACCTGTGCACTGAAGGTCTGCTCAGCTACCAAACTACAATTCATACTGAAAGATTAAGTTATAGGGGAAAAAAAACATTTAAGAAACCTTGCTCAGACTAAGTTTCAAATGTCAGTATCTCTAAGCTTGTGCTTTGCTCTTTAATAACCAGTTACCTTAACTAAAAAGTTCCAAACAATATTCAACATAAGCACCACAAGTTTCTTCCACACATTAGCATTTAATACTAATGTGTCAATGAGTGTTTAAAATGAGTCTCAAAGCTAAGGGTCAATTACTTCCACTTCTAAATCATAAAAGACAACAGTAAGTACTTCCTCTCTTCACCGGCTTTGTTAATACAACAGGCCCTTCAAAAGGCTTGGTAGACAAAATCGATACTTGAATTTCTAAAAATTAAACTCATGTTAACAAGGTCAGTCTGTCATATCACCTTTGAGAAGAGTTGCAGATGTTAACACACATGAATGCCAAAGAAAGATTAATGTGGTTCACAAGGAATTACAAAGATTTTTCCAAAAGAAACCCTAACATGAACAAAGCCTCCCATAACATGAACTATTCAGAAACATTTATGTTCTACTCAAAACACATTTGAATACTGTATTATAGAAAATTTTGAAAAATGCAGCATGTAAATCACCTGGTTTCCTCTGTACAGAATAGAAAGGAAAATCAGATATTACACAACCATTCAGTTTGAGATACCCACTCATTTTTCAGATCTGTAGCTCTGAAACCATTGAGATTTCTTTTTAACAACAGCAGTTAGATAAATCTAAATCTAATCTACAATGGGCAACTCCAAAATTACTAATGAAGTGCTCACAATATAATACAACACTGAAACTAAATACTAACAGCCTTCTGTGTTTTGACTTGACATTTAGGGGAGGTACTCAAGGTTTTTTCAAACTAACCTGAATTTTAACTACAGATTGAGGGATTAGTGGGAAGATAGGGTGATATGATTAAGGGGTTTGGACTACCTACTGGTTTAACAATTAGTTCAAACCAATTACCTCTAAAATCAAATTTTATATTTTTGAGACCCCATTCCCCCAGCATCTCCTGGTATTAACAAAACCTTAAAATTGGATGATTTAGCAGTTTAAGAGACCTCAATTGTGTGATATACATATAATACAGCAACAAAAATGCATGGCCAATAGAATGGTCAAGACATTAAATTGCTACATTAGCAAAAATGTTAACGAGTGGAAACAAGCATTTTACTATAAGCCAAAGTTCACTGGGGTTTTGTTAAAAGGCCAATACCATATTCTCTCCTCAACACTTAACGGTTTTAAGGCCAAAAAAGGTAACGAGGTTTAAAAGCATTTGCACTATTATAAGCAGGCTGAACATCTGATAATCACATCTGCTTCAGCAAGGCAAATTTAACTTGATTTACAAGTAAAACCTGGCTCGTGGAAGACAAAAGCATTTCATGGTTGCTGCACCTCAAAAGCCAACTTGCTGCACCATATAGTGGTGTCAACTTGGATAAAAGCAGTGCAGCACAGCCAGCTTATTCAGCTAGTCTACTCCTCAGTCTAAAACAATGACAAGAAACTGTCTAATGTGAAACCTTTGAAACAAATCTGAACTACAGGCACAAAATAGAAAAAAACATACAAAAAGAACCATATGTTTAGACACTACAGATTGTAAATTATAGACTGTGGAAAAAACTGCTTTTCTACAAAAAACAAAAGGACCTGCTCCTGATTTAATCTCCCATTTTTTCCCTTAAATATAATGTATGGAGAAATACCCATTTAAAACAAGGGCCTAAGCAGTTTGGCTGCTGCACTTCAATTACACAGCGGAGAAATGCAATTGCAGATCCAATTCATAATTTCCAACCTGCTTTCCCACAGTCCCCTAATTAAAAAAAAACCTAAGGAGCTTTCCTGGAATGATAAAGCCTATGTGTCATAACAGGCTCTAATAAACATTCAAATTAAGGTCCCTATTAATGCATGCAAACCAAAAATGGAATGACAGCCGGCATGCTTGCATACAATTCTGGGCAGAAAAAAAAAGACAGGCTGGAGGTGGTGGGGGGGAATACTTCACTCATTTTAATATCACTGCAGGATAAATACAATAAAAGAAATAAAGAACTGAAAAGCTTCTGTTTTTTTATTTTTATTTTTTTAAACTCCAGTCTGGTGACAAAGGCCTCGAGTGAAAAAGATTCGTAACTTAACACCACTCCCCCAGGTAGAGTCCCTCTATCACGCCACAAGGCGTCAGCACAACATTCAAAAAGCCTACCTAGTTGAGACATGTACAGGCTTTGACACTGTTTTTATTAAAGTTGCCAATGACTGCCAACAAGTTGGCATTTTATACGGAGGTAATAACTGCGCATGGCCACCAGGTCTTACTTGGCTGCAAGTTAAGGCAGACTGGCATTAAGGAAAAAAATAAATCACTGAAGTTTGTTTTGTAGGGTATAAAAGTGTGGTTGTACCCAAGGCCTGCTCTTAAGTGCTAACTACCGATATCCAGAAATTCTCTCAAGATGCATCAGCTCTAGGGCATTAACATCTCCGCACCAACATAAGGTAGTACCAACACTTTGTATGTTGATAACAGTACAGCCTCCAGAGAGGGGGGGCGGGAAGTCATTCTGGGCATCCGTCATAAAACATCTTTGTATAATTCAAAATTCATACTTCACCTGAGGGGAAGAATGCACACCAAATACACTAAAAAAATCCTAATCAGATTACAAAATTGGATCCCATAATTTTAAACATTTAGGAATGTAAATGGTAAGACTGACACCTAGAAGGCAAAAAACGTAATTTTGTTTTTTTTTAAAAAAAAGAAAACAAAACCTCAGTGATCTGGCACAATGCCAATCAGCCTACAAGATAGTTGTAAAAGTCCAGCACGGTTTTGGAAAAAAAAACTGAAAACAATTGAGGTTGTTTGTGAAGGCCATAGCTTTGGTGACAATTAGAACCAAAATTTAAGATTTGTGGTAGGTCTCAGCCTGAGCAGCCAGTCTCTTCCTATTTACTTGGTCATGGGCTTGATGGCAACAGCAGATTCTTCTCCCATAGCTGAAAGCACTGAGATCTGGAGGAGGAAAAGAAAATAATTAGCTTTCCAATCAACATTTGCCCTATAGTAGGAAGATGTCCATCCATTGCATTGAGCAATTTACCCCGGTGCCATTCACCTTAAAAAAAAAAAAAAAAAGATCGACAACTTTTGAAACCCTTAAATTCACATGTCACAGAAAACCCAATAGTAACCCAGAAAGTGAATACTTAAACATGGGGGGCAGGAACAACCCAAGTCATTATTGCCTGCAAAAACACAAATAAAAGTAACTGGAGAATGAAGAAACTAGTATCCTGTTTTAGGATATCAGCTTTACAAACATCCAAAGAAATGTTAAGAGCAGTTTAGTCTACAAAAATTGTAACCAACCGCTATTCTTTAAATTACCGGTGGTATATACAAAATCTTAACGAAAGATTTAGGTTTTACAAGATCCAAGGTTCTCAACTACACAATTCTGTGCGTGGCATGGCCAGAATCTTGTGAACGTGAAGCCAACTACCTAGCTAATCTTACTCAGAAGTTCACTTTGCTGGGTTACTAAAAAATACAAGAAAGACATTTGCTAACCAAATGGTTAAACGTTATAAAGCTTACATTTGGTGCTCTAAAATTTTATTCAGGGTTAGTCAGTTTCAACTGTAGTAACTCATTCAGGGCAAAGCAACGGCTTAATGGCTCAAGTTCAGTACTTCAGGTGGGCGTCATGCACCTGAAGAAGGCTTCACAACCGAAACGCATTTTCTCTCTCCTCTTTTCAGCATGGAATAAACCCTTTACTTGTACTGTCGGTACTAAACTTTGCAAAGCTACAATTCATTGTGAATATAAACAACTAGAAAGATGGAAATCGCTCTATACCATTCTACCTACAGAAAATGCACATTGTTCATCACTGTCCAAAAGTTTTTCAGCTGTGGTACCTACCTCAGGGATGAGAAGACTCCCGCCTTCTCATACACAACAAGCGAAGATATTTTCTTTACTTGCTATAAAGCCTTCAACGAGTGATCTCAGCATTAAGTCAACCGGTAAGATATTTCTTTCTAAATATGGCACTAACATTGACATTTTTAAAATGTACAAGAGTACATCATACAACTTTAATGAAGTCACTTTCACTACAGCACATTGACCCTGGGCTCAAACTACACCTTACCAGCATCTCTTCACCGGCTTCATATTTGCTTTCGATTTCTTTGCCCAGGTCACCCTCTGGCAGTCTGAGATCCTCACGGACTTCACCATTGTCCATCAGCAGGGAAAGGAAGCCATCTGTAATGCCAATCAGCTGTAAAGGAAAAGGAGATCTAAGAACACACCACTTAAAATGCTCTCCCAGAGGTCTGATCTGCCAGAATTTGCCTCTTTACCCAGCTTATTTAGCAATTGAAAGAAAACAGTACACGATGTCTAAATCTTTGAAGTGAACATTCTCCCTACTGACAGCTCTTAGGAGTCAGCAGGTTGTGTTGTGAGCAGCAGAGCTGAGACAGAAACGGGCACAAAGACTAATTAAAAACACGGACGCAAAGACATTAGTCTGCAAAAAAAAAACCTAACCTCATCTCCTGCAGGAGAAGTTGTACAATAGTACCTATAAATGTACAGAACCAAAATACCACAAAGGTGTAAAAGGGGATTAAAATGGAGTTAGGTTTTAAACTGAGGAAGCAACTCATTCAGGTACAAAACCTATCTAGAAAAAGTATTTTCCTCTCCCTTTACACAGCTTTGAATCTTTTGATGTGCTATACGCTGCAGCACAAATCTTCATTGCAAGGCATTTTCTGATCTATTAATCTTGCACAAAAAATTTCACTAATGGGGATCCCTACAAATTTTGGATTTCTCATACATGGAAATGCATTTTAAACCCAATTTTGACAACCTGCCAATCAACAAGATTGAGAAAAGATGTCTATTCGCCTGCTTTTAATTTCCATTCTTCTTGCACAAAAATGATTCTAGCTAAATTACCAGCATAACTATAAAAACAACAACCAAATGCCACCATTTTAGGCACAGTGCTGAAACCCAGCCAAAGGTCATTGGTATACTTGGCAAAGGCTTATCTGTTACAGCACAAAAAATAACATTAGGTACTGCCAAGCTATTAACTAGATGCCATTTATTAGCCATGTAACAGGCTCACCTGAAAGTCATTTCTCTTGATGTTAGGGACATCCATGTTGTGGGTAGATGGACAGATATCTTCATATTTCTTGCCAGTAAATATGTCGATTCCAATCATGTGAACCTATATGAGAAAAGCAACAATTAAGTTTTTCCATTAATCTACCATATTCACTGTTAGGAAAAGTAAAGGTTAATTTAAATGCAGTAATGTAGAAAGAAAATCTTCCATCTGTTGTACTGATGCAGCTTCATACTTGAACCATATTCAGCCAAGGTGGCACCCAATATTAATATTTAATATAAAAACCTATTACTGCTTTCCATCAGCTCCCTCTAATTTGATCTAAGTCGCAAATGACAACAGAAGCACACAAAAAAACACCATGATGCAAAAATGGAGCAGACCTAGCTCGAAGAAATCTCTCCTTTAAAAATAAAGGAACTCAAATTGCACGCATCACAAGAATTTGTACAATTACACAGGACAAGTTGCATAGCTGTACAAAACCAAAATAACACAAAGGCGCAAGAGAGGATTAAACCGATTAAAGCTTTAGCGTCTGTAACTGTTACAGGTTGATGAGGCTGATCAGGAAAACACTGGAAGAGGAATAAAGACATGCCGATGGTCTCAACCCAGAAAGCAATTGGTTACACTGTGCCTGCTGCAGGTTCAAGGCACGCAGCACGGGTATGTTGGATTACCTTGGCATGGCCGTGCTTGCCAGTCTTGGAAGTTGACATTTCCACAATCTTGCAGGGACGTCCTTTCAGCACCACAAACCCGTTCTTGCGCAGAGCACTGCACTGCATGGGGATGGTGGAGGAAGCCCCAGCATCACCACTTGTGAAATCAATATCGGGATCGGCCATGGTGGTTTGATTCTAGGGGTACTGGAAAGAGACGCAAGCATCACCACACCAGAGATCACAACTGCTTGAAGATTAATTTCCTGCCACCCTCGGCAAATGTGTTGCCATCTACGTCTCAACGTTAAACGAGTTTAATTTACAAAATGCTTCAACCCTCTGTGCAAAATCCAAGGGGATGACTCTTACAATACATTGGTGAAGCCGCAATGAGCAACAAGTGTCTAAGCACACGACAAAATACTCAGCAATATTCAACAGCCTGCGTGGCTGCCTCGTTTTGTTAGATTGGAAACACGAAATAAACCGTATTCCATATGATACATCTGTATACCCCGAATAACATCGCAACCGCAATGGCACGTCGTTATATGGATATTGTTACGTTCAAAGCATCAGCCTACGATTGGGCGGAACCAAAATAATTTAGCAGAAAAACACCGAAACTACGACAACGCAAATAAAAACAGGGACGCCAAACTAAGGAGGGCCGGGGTCAGAGGGAAAGCGCTGCTCGACGAGCCCAACCAACACGGGAGACCAAAGAGAGATCGGCGTCTGGGAAACTAACCCCGGGGGCGGAAGGGGCGTTAAGGCCGGAGGAAGAAAACCATCCCGAAGTTTTCAAGAGCAGCAGACACGAGGTCGTGATTGAAAACTGCCCGACTCGGGCACCGCCGCCCCCCTGATCAATCTCCCGGCGCAACCCCACGCCCTGTCCACGTGTCTCTGTTTGGCCGTGCTTCGATCGGGAAGCGGAAACTGAAGTTTCACCCGCTAGCTGCTAACCTGCAGCATCATGGTATCCAGACCACTCTCACGGGGAGGCCCACCGGCCGGCCTCGTCGCAGTCGCCCGTGAAAGTCTTGCCATCGGCAAAGACCCCGGACAAACCGAGCCATGCACCAGCCCAAAATAAAAATTTCTGACGGTACGCCCAAAGTCAGATTAATGGAAGCATGAAGCTAGGCCAAAAGCCACCCCCGTAAGTCCGCTCCGATTTCAACTAGCCCGGTACAATCCTCGGAAAACGAGGAGTATCCGCCACCGCAAGTCTACGGTTTTGAAACAAACTTTGATGGAAGTTTAAGCCGCGGTTGGTAGTGGAAAATGGCGCTGCATGCCTAGCCCCCTTCTCCTCGCCCTGTACCCCCGGTTTTTTAAACTGTAACACACGTAAGACCAGAAATCTCTCTCTCTCACACACACAAAAAAAAGACTCCCCAAGTAAAAGCAACAACGATTCTTCGCTTAACGCCGCGGGAAGAGCGAGCCAACACGACACATTCGTGCAGCATGAAACATACGGGTCAGACAAGGACCCCCCCACCGCTCCGCTCCGAAACCACTCTTTCATTGACTCCCGGGCGCGACGGAGCAAGCGCCGTCTCGAAACGTCAACGCGGCTAACCCCGAACTTCAGCACCGAAGGACTTCCCGCAGCCCGACAACACGTTGAGAAGGCAGCCGAGCCTGTGCTGCCTTTTTCGGCGTGAGCCCGTGTGCTTGCGGCGAATGCGCGCCAGGGCCTCATGCCTCTCCTTTTCATCCGAGGCAGCCAGGAGAAATTAAACCGAATCCACACCCTACCGCCGTGCAGCCGCGCCGCTACCAAATACTCCACGTCCTACCCTCGCCGCCTCGCTCCAGGCTTGCCTAGGCTCGGCTAAGGGACTCTACTTCACCAAATCGCAGTCAAAAGGGGCTAAAAGTTTCTTTTAATTTTTACTGCGGAGAGGAGCGCATGCCATGCCAGCCCTTACCTTCCAACAAAAAGGGAACGTGACTGCGCAGGCGCGCCCAATTTTACTGCGGCAACCTCGCGGGGGGGCGGGATCAGCAAAGAATTTCCCAGACACCCCGCAGCTTCCGGTTTAAATGCCGCCTGTGACGTCAGGACAATACCCCTCCAGTCGGGAGGGGAGGGGGGAGGAGGCTGAGGGGCCTCGCTCTTGGTAGTGAGGTTATTTCAGTCACGTCAATCGTGTATATAACGCACTGAGAGGAAAAAAGGATGATCTATTTTGAAGGGTTTATTTTTCTAAAAAGCTTTGGAACCTTTTTCTGGTTGTTGGACCACACTGAAAGAAGTCCCTCTCATGATGGACACCCAATTTAAACACAAAACCAAGCTGAACTTGATCATAATTGTATATAAATGTGGCTAACAAATTATACATACAAATGCAGATCTTCGGGTTATTACAGCCGGATTTGACTAACTGTAAAAAAGCGTTATTTTTTCACAAGTTAAAAAATATCTAATTTTACACATTTAGAGTGGCCGGATAGGATGTGAGAATGTTACACTTTGTGAAATGGCCCTGGACAGGCTGTGAGCAAGAATCGCCCAGACTGCTGTTTGACACAAACCCCCGTTCCAAGAATTATATGCTACCATTAGAAATACTATTGTATTGTGTGTAGTTCAGCCCAGTTCACCTTTGTTACTATAAATTTGAACATCCTCTCTTTAAAAGTGGAACAATATACGTTTTACTATATACAGCAGGGTGTTTTATATATACAGCAGGGTGACACCTGAAGAAGGCTCCACGGCCGAAACGTTGTGTTCTCTTTCTTCTTTTTTTCAGCATGGAATAAACCTATTACTTGTTTTATTATATGGAAACCAGCACGTACCGTACACCTGTATTCGTAGAAAAACAAAACAAAAGTGAGAAAATCGAATGAGAAAACAGGTAGGTCTGCAAAACAACTGTTAAACTGAAGAGTTTGAAACGACAATAAAACAGGATATTGACAACGGGTCACTGATTCCAAAGAACAAGAAAACAAAACCACGACATGATATGGAACAGGTTGCAAGTTGGAAGAAGATGGAAAAATACCAAATTTTGTGGAAAATCCTCAGTGAGGCTTTTATTCATCCAGGCATATATGGAGGCAGCGCATGATTATATCTTCACTCATTAATAACATTTCAATCGATTTCATACAATTCGAGAAAAGTAATTTAAATTCGGAAACAGACACTTTGAGGCTTTGAGGTCAGGAGCAATCTTTACTGGAATTATTTATTAGTGATTTAATACTCAGAAACAAGAAAAAGCAGCACCTTTTAGTGTTTCAATTGCCCGTGTATTCTGGTCTAATATTTATATTTTGCATTGTTGTCTTCACATACCAAAACCAAAGTCTATTAAGAAAAATTTAAGACTAAGAATATTACACAGAACCATTTGTGGAATATGCTTTAAAAAATACAATAAACTACATATGTCAATTAGCCTTTTAGCTAACTCTTAACAGCGTTAGAGCTGCGCGCTGGTCAATAAACCATTATATGACTGAAATCATATAATAAAGAAAGGTTAGAGAGAGAGAAGAAGCCGTTCGGACTTCTGTAACTCGTTCAGCTGCGCACTCCTTTTTTAAAGCAATTGAATACTTTACATAGATTAAAAGGTAATTAATCTATGTACGTTTATAGTATAAAATAAACTTACCATGTTTATGTAAAATCTGATGAGCACTGAGGCACTTTGTTACTATTGTGCTCTTTTCCAACTACTGAGCCCTCAGGGTGCGTCGCAATAGTTGTCTATGAAGTGTTGTGCACATTCCACCTACCTCAGGGCAATACAAACTTTTCTGAGAGACACGAGTATTACATTTCCATTGTATTGTTATTACTAAAATCAAAACGCCTGCAAAGGCCATTTCGTTTATAAAGATGCGGTCTTTCCTAGGCCCTGCGTACAGGTCCGTTAATCAACAAAAGAAGTTGGGAAATAGACAAACTCCTTAAGGAAATAATAAAACGATCGTTGTAATTATACGGCTTCTTATGTTCTGACCGTGTAAATCTGCACGAGATGAAAACAGGGAACTATATTTTTTTATGAAAGCAGTATGTTTTTTTAACAAGAGCGGCGCAGAATGCGTAATGGCTGATCATTATGTTTAAATCTTACTGCGTGACAAAATGCATTGCTTATGACATGGGTATGGCATGTTCACAAATTGCTAATGACCCGGTTTCTAACACCAGTTAACCTCATAAGCAGCAGCAAATTCTAAGACAGCATATTGACACTGTAAACAAGACTAATCACTCCGCTGCAGCTTTCGTGTACTTCTAGGTTGTCAGTAATGCGCAATTTGTCCAATAGATGGCACTGCACTCAAATCAATATTTGCACAATACCTAAATGTAGTAAGCTTTTAAATTCGCAGTCTTACTGATAAGGCTGTATCTTATCAATTCTCGTCATATCTCCAAGGTCATTAAAGAAAGAAAGTATTATAATATATTGAGCAAAAGAATGCTGACAGTTTTCTGAAAAATATATATTTTATATCTGTTAAGTTGTAAGTTGAAAGCTGAACCTGACGAATATGTACATTTAAATGACCTAGCTTACTTTGCATCAGCGTTTCTTGACAAACGCACATCACAGCAATTCCTTGTAATATTCACGCTGTACATAATCTCTCTATATACTTAAAAATATTTCATCTTTATCCATACATGTCCTTAAATGGTGGGAAAAGTTACTTTTAAAAATAATATATTACAGTTCCAAGAGGTCACTTTTTAGAATGAATAAACTGGAGAAATTACCTTAGTAATGCATGACTTTATGTAGTGAGTATACATGCATTATGGACATTACAATAACTGGTGCATTTTAAAATGATACTCTATTTCCATAATTTCTTAACTTTGTTTAAAAAAAAAAGGAAAAAGTTGTTCCTTGCGCAGATAACGTTTGAATTGTAATATATTACTTCCGGGCAGCACAGTGGTAAACTGACACATTGCAGTGCTGGGGCCCTGGGTTCAAATCTGGGTCTTGGGTGCTAAGTGTGTGGAGGTTTTGTGGGTTTCATCTAGGTGCTCTGATGTCCTCAAAGAGTTCAAAAACATACTGGTAGATGAATTGTCCTCTGGGTGCACCCTGCCTTGTGCCCGTTGTGCGCTGGTATAGGCTCCAGCTCTCCCTTCATCCTGAATTGGAAGAAGTGGTTAGAAACATTTACAGCATGAATGGATTACTTCTACAAACTTTCTCCAACACTTCATAAACATGTAGCACATTTTGTATTGTAGTAAAATCATTATGCTTTTAGTAAGATACTTCTATCAATACAATCGTATCGCCTTTCATACAGATTTAATCAGTGATTCTAAGAATCATCTTAATTTCCCCCTTGATTCGTTGTCCAAGGTTGCAGAATTTTCCTTGCACCCCTAGAGGGCGGTGCGGAGGTGTTTTGGTGAATGTGAGCCAGACTATGTTAAAAAGGACCATACGGAAGCCATTTTAATAACAGACCCCTTGAATGTGTGAAAGATGCGTCATTCTCGTGTTCTCAGTTGAGCTGCATTTATTTTCTCTACCTTGCTGTTGAAGGGAAGCAGGGTTTAGAATTTTATTAATTGACGTAGTTTTCAAGTCCAAAACATGAAAAACCTTAAACTGTTAAAAGAACAAGTATGTTATTTTAAAATACACAGCTAAGAATTTGGCAGAGATTGATTTAAAAGCATGCACCTGAAACGTCAAGTTCTGTGCTTGCATTCTCTTTTGGGATGTTGTGAGATGAAATTGAGGTTTTTCTGCCTCGTGGGGGGGATGTTTATAGCATCAACCATTGCTAACTGCCTTTGTTTTCTGTTACTTTTTGTTTCTTGTTTCTGAAAAGCATGCAGTATTCTTAATGTTACTGTTTTCCAGTCTGTAAAAAGTGAGAGGTTTGTTTTTGTTTCTTAACAGATTTAACACTTCTGCAGTTGTAGACTTGCAGTGTCTCAATCTGACGGAATACTTTCTGATGAGGTTGCACTGTTCCTCAGTTTGATGTTTTTTTCACACACAGTTCTCTTCAGGTGATGAGGCAATCGCTGGCAAGTGCGGATTGTGCATGCCTTTCAGCTTTTCAGTTTCCAGTGAATCACCAGCTCACAGATTTGGAATTTAATAATATGGTACTGTATTCTAATTTGAGGGAGTCAGACACTTCAAAATGAAACATAAAGTTCAGTAAATACACTCCATTAACATAAAGTACAGTCTTGTCAGGCTTTTAGATACAAAATTAGAGTCCAGAGCTGAAAAATATGTTTACAAGTCATTTTCCAACCAGTTAAAAATTAACAGATACCAGTATAAAGTCCTCCTTTTTATTTGTCCAAACAGTTGGTTGCTGAAGTTCAAATTCTCCTCTGACTACAAGTTGCTAGGTGCTGCAGAACTCTTACCTTCTGATATCAGTTTTTTAGAACTCTTAAAATATTAAAAATCAAAGTTTGCCGAAGATTTTTTAATCACATTGTTTTATGATTTTTTTTTCAAATGGGGGGAAATATTAAATGTGAAATAAGACAAATTCTGTTCTCAAAAATCCTATTACTGGTGACACAACTGAAAATATCGAAACCTGTCCTATGAATTAATTAAAATATATCCCAAGATTGTTCACAAAATACCACTGAAATACCTGATTGTAATTTTCTACTTAATTACATTTTCACTTGATTGTAATTTCCTATTTAATTCATTTTCACTTTACCTTTTTAGTTTGTTTTCAGTGTGTACTATAAATACTGCAAATACAGTATATTCATTATATTATCGTGTAATAATATCAAATGGAATTGTGTTTATTCTTCACTGATGCTCTTATTGAAGCTTCTAAACAAGCATACTGTACCTACTAAGGTCTGATTAACCTTAGGTTAATAATTTTAAGATAAACATCTACCCACTCTTCTGATATCCTAGTCTGAACAAAAACAGCCCTTTATAATACTGATTTTTATGCAACAATACATTAATTAAAGTGACTGGGAACAAGCAGCAGGAATTCAATAATTTTTTTATTAAAAACAACAGTATTTTTAAAACTGCAATTTCTAAATATGCAATAGCAATGTTTCTTAATCTCACAGTCCAATGTGTTTTTGTAAGCATTCTTGACTAGATAGTTTTATGTGATTCCTTTTCATATTTTACATTAAAATCCACAAAACACATTCTGATTGAGAACACATTGTATTAAGGTTAAATACAGTACATTATTAGTCTGGATCAACAGAAATGGTCAAAGCTACACCTTACAATAAGTAGTATTTAAAATTAAAATAAATAAGTTTGAGCAACTAAATGATCTTTTTTATGCTTGTTATTAATTCATATCCAAAATACAGAATTACAGAATAGCAAAAGCCCACATGTCTCACTGTTCTTCTGTGTCTGAAAGCTTTGACAGGTTTGCTTCCTTTGTGTAAAGATACTGTTTATGTCTGAGCTTTTAAGATCAAAAACATTCAGAAACTGGTTATATAACAATTCCCCTATGCCTTGGCGCCAGATGGAGGGGAAAATGGTCACTTTTCATCTGTTTCAGCATCTATGGGAACAAGATAAAAGCATAACTAACAATCATAACTAAAGCCTCAAGGGTTGGTCCAAGGTTATGCAAATTATGAGAATTTCATCTAGGAATGTCAAGATTCACACCTGACTGGGAAACAGTAAAACATTTTGACAGGTTTTCACAATCAGCCACGTCAGCCTCTGTGCCTTCCATTAGCTCACAAGGTGTATGCCTATCATGTTTCAGAGCCTGATCAGTCAGCTCATGTCTGCCCCTTCTGAATGATAATTCTTTTCTTCCTCTTACATTGCATCATTAGAAAATTCTTCTTGCGTGGGAAAAATAAAGTCTTACTATACTCTGGGACAGTTTGTAATACCGAAACAGACTTGCTTGTAGAAATTTGAAGCCATTGCCTCAAACACCGCAGATATTCCAGCTGAGCTACAGGACGCTTTCATTTTTCTCAAGGCTGCGACAAAACAAGCTGGGAGTGTAGCTGAAGCTGTCCACTGGCTCCTCCATCTCTTTCTTGCTTTCTTCCCTGTCTTCCTGTGTGTGCAGGGCCTGCTAATGCTTTTGCTACACACTGTACACCGATCGATCAATCAATCAATCAATCAATCACAAGCATCATCATCCTCATCATCGTCATCAACATCAATCTGGTGACAGACTGGTGTTCCCTGCCTTGTGCCCGTTGCTTACCAGGTTCGGCACCGGCCCACCCCATGAACCTGAATTGGACTAAGATGCTAGAAAAGGGAAGGATGGATTGATTTCAATAAATGGTAAGGAGAATAACTGGTCCTTACTGTAAGTGCATTACAGATGCTTAACTGGTATGTGTCTTTCTATATGTCTTTGTTATGCTGTGTTTTCAGGATACATAAGTTATAAAAACATGCAATTAACGAACATTAGGGCTTGTGACAGCTGTGCTTGTATTTGCTTGTCACTGGCTGCTGCTGACTGAACATGAAACATTAATGCAAAGAAAGGAATTCCTGGAAAGGCACTTAGTCCTTGCAAGATATGGGTATATATCATTAAAGCTGAACAACCGAATGTGGCACAGTGTGCTTTTAGTTAGAATAGTGTAATGCGTGGTGTTTAAATCATTTTACAGTACAAATTGAATTCCACTAACCTACACCGTTTGATTTGTTTAAACAAAAAACATTTGCTTAAAGTTAGGAAAAATGTAGGTATTTTGAAGGCACTGGAAATACTTTTATTTTGGTATAACAGACATGGTAGTTTATGTGAATTTCATTAAATACTTCTTCATTATACATGTAATCAGTGAACAAAATGTGCTTCTTTGTCACTAAAGTGAAGATAATGATTATGCAAAGCCAGGCTGAGTAATGCAAAAACACACATTGAGACGAAAAACCATTCAGCTGCATAAAAGTGTTACTGTTGTTGCTGCAAGGCCAAATTGAACACTGCTGTACAACTTCAGCATGTGTTCTACTGTATCACATCTGAGGATCTAGGTGTAATTCTGTTCACACATTTCTCCTCGCGTCATTGCACACTAGCCCAGCATTTACAGCATATGTAGACACAACTACAGACAGACCTACTGTAACAGTTAGTAGTCTTGATGTGGTTTCATGTCTATCTCATGTGCCAGTCAATGTTGGTAAATTATTTTGGACCACCATGCTTTCATATAAATCTCAGTGTTAAAAATTCGAAGTGTGTTGTAAGAAAAACAAAAGTTAACACAAAGTTTCAATTCAAAGAAAATTAAACTTTATTAACTATATCTAATTGAAAAAAAAGAGTGTTTTTTAAATCCATCATTCAATTTAGTTGTGGCTATATCTACAGTATATAAGTTATACCTGTAAATGACATGACTTAAATATGAAACAATACCCTTTCGCCTTAGTCTTTGAAGAAGACTTTGAACTGAAATATCGGGATAGTTTGCCTCATAAGTAAAGTAAGAAAAATTAAAAATTAAAGATTAATAAAGCATTTGGAATCTTGAGCGTGGTCCAGTTTGGGGGACTGTTTTGACCTGTGCACTGGGCTGAATGACACTTTCTGCTTGAGGGTGACTCAATACTTGAACACACTCTTCATAGTTGTGTATACACAAGTAGCTCAAAAAGAGACATGACTATGTTAGTCATATACCTTATGTATTTATAATTGTAGTATCACATAATTACATATAGTTTTCAGTGTGGACATGTTTCTAATACTGCACATAAAACATTTAATAAAAAACTACTTAATACTGTTACATTCTTGTGGACCATGCACACTACCTGCACATTAAACAAATCTCTAGTGTTCTGAAAAACAGGAAAGGAAACAGACTGGGAAATCGAGCAGTTCCATTCACCTTTTCATGGCTACATGAGTATAAATGAATATAGATAAAATTATTATAACATCTTGTCTTCTCTGACCAGGTTTTGTTGCACTATTATACCTCTGTGGTAGCTATAATAGTTAAGGTACAGAACTTTTATATCCCCAGCCTGATCCCGATCAAATTCAGTGTAAATATAGCGATATTTCTATATGTTATGGTAGTAATAATTTTATCAGGAAGTCATCCATTTTATCTCCAAAGTATGTAACATCTACAGGCTTGTGTTTACACAGCATAATACCACAATGTTGTCTCAAACAAAGTGTAACATTAATACAGTGTTGTCACAACACTGCTGCCTGGATGATTTACAGTAGTGATATCTGCTTGTATGCTAGACCACCGCTTCCTGAAGTGTCCGTCGTGGAGATCTGGTGGGGTTGTGATCCCGTTTGTAAACAATGCATCTGAAAATTGACTGATCTAAAGTACAAAGGCTCTAAGCACTGGCAGTTCTATTTTCTATCACGGTTTATATCTGAATCTTTTGTCCATTCAACAGCAGTCCGTGGCCATGCATGTTACTGACTGCCGAGGGAGGACATGTCTTATCGTAGGCACAACAAATGACAAGGTGATGTCTTGGACACAATGTAACACAGGCTGCGAAAATGCAAATATTTCCCTGTATGCCCACTATAGCTGCAACCAGTAATGCATGCACCACTGCCAAGTGTAATCTATGTGGAACAGCACAAGGAAGCACTGTGCTGTACTACATAAGCACTACTCCAGTGACCTGCTACTCAATTACAGCAAACGGCAAAGTACTGTATATCTTCTAGTTCTCCTAGTGCTTGACCATGTTTATATTGTGCTTTACTTTGGATTCCCACGGTCTATATCGTAACTGACAGTTACGTACAGTGACTTCACTTTTACTCTTTACTCTATTTTTATCCACTGTAAACATTTATAAGGTGATGTTCTCTCAGTTTGTCTGTCCCATTGTGTCCAGCACAGCTCTGTAACAGTCATCTTGCAGCACAGCTCTCTGCTGCCTTCTTTTTTTGTTGGAGAATGTTATGCATCTGTCGATCCTGCCAGATACTCCATTTCCGTTGCGGTTTTAAGGCCAGCCGGTGCTGTGTGTCGCCTTCGTCGGAATTCAGCTGAGATTTCCTCAAAAGTCTTTCCTTTTGTTTCTGGGACTCGACAGTACGTGAACATGGTAAAGCAAAACAGCAGCACAGTGAAGATAATGAAGACGTAGTTCCCACACAGAGCCTGGGATGTACAGAGAAGAGATGGTAAGTTATCACACAGTGATCACACATCACACAGTTGTCTTGATCACACAATTCAACTCAACATTTAAGCCAGTGTAGCTGGATCTTCACCAATAATTAGCCAGTGGAAACCCAGGGCTGTAAACATTCTGTACATTGACGTGAATTTCTAATCACTGCCACTAGAGGTTTCTATGTCTATATCAAAAACACCTGTTGGTAAATCAAACTAAGCAGCCACTGACGGTTCAGAAGGGAAACGGGCGCAGCGTAATGTAAGAAACCCTCTTGGAGAGGGAGAGGGAGAGAGAGAGAGGGAGAGAGAGAGAGAGTCTTTATTATCACCAAGTTGTTTTACAACAGCAGTGTTGGTGTACGGACAAACAGAAGAAAAAAGACAGGAACAACAATATACATACATATTTACATCGAAGGTCAAGAGTTAAGTGAGGATATGGCTACAGGTATGAATGAGAACTTAATTATTTTTGGTTTTGGTGTAGGGGAGTCGGTATCTGCGTTCTGATGCGAGTAACTGGAAATTATTAAACAAGGGATGTGAAGGATCTTCACAGATGGATTTTGCTTTAGGCAAAGCATGTGAATGACAGATAGAGGAGAGGGCTGGGAGATCAGCCCCAGACACCTTCTGACACAGAATCTACTCGGTAAACAGCAAGAGGACTAGATAACATCTTAAAGTTGATTTTCTTTTTTCATTTCTTCACATGGTTACTTCTCTGTTTATAAATGTGGAACTTTCAGTATAAAGAAACATCTTTATTTTCATAAAGAAAAGTATGGCAGTGCTAAAAAAGACCTCTCTGCCTGTACTGTATATACAGGAAGCTCATCCCAGCTCATCTCTATCTACTGTTTGGGAAGCTCACCCCATTTTGTATTTGTAAGAACTTTCTTTACAAATAAATACAGAAAATCTCTATATTACACAGTATTACATTTCCTGAGGTGCATGAGCTCATCCACCCCTGTTCGTCATTTCAAATCACTTCCACACATGAAACAAGCTATTCATGTTAATTAACATCACAGGGTTCTGAGACACAATCCTACACCCTCTATTTTCCACAGATTTTCTGCTTCCTCATCCCATGCTGAGCTCATCCCAGCTCACCTCCAGTATATGCACTGTATGGGAAGCTCATCCCAGCTCACCTCTATGTATGGGAAGCTCATCCCAATGATGAAATTGCTGGTCCAGTTGCAGCAGCAGGCTAAGGCAATGGCAGCAGGACGAGGGCCCTGACTGAAGAGCTCCGCTACGATGAACCACGGGATAGGGCCCGGCCCAATTTCAAAGAAGCACACAAACAGGAAGATGCCCGTCATGCTTACATAGCTCATCCAGGCATATGTGTCCTGAGAACAAACAAGACTGAATCTGTTAGAATAACAACACACACACTTCCATTAAGAAGAAAAGTAAGTGCACAGCTTGTACCCTAAACAGCAATACCATTCGATGGTGTGAACTGTAGTGCACTATGTGAGAGGAATCTTTGTGGGTCTTTTTTTGAAAGAATGTTGTCTTGTTTTGCAGAAACCTTTCCTTGCAACATGTGAGATCTTACCAGGAAGAAGCAAAAACCAAGAAATACAACTCACCAGGTAAACCAGTCCAACTGTCATAATCACAGTGCAAATACACATTCCTGCCAATCCAACTAGACACAGTGTGCGTCTACCTGCTCTGTCCACCAGCATCACCTGAAATAAAAATCAGAGCACGAGTGTTGTTGCACAAGTGGCATGAGGAAGCCATTGTCCTGTTAAGACCAAACGTGTCCAGTGTAGATCTTATTTTTTTGCTTTTAACTAAATACTAAGTGATTTGTCAGCAGAATTAATTTAGTTTAGGTGGATTGTTAGCACCCAATTGATCATACACTCAATACTTTAATTCCAATTCACTCGCAACTATTTCCTTTGTTTTGAATATGGCATGTCAGCATTAGTCTCAGCAGGTAAGTGGGAGCTTGGCAAACCCCTCAATTTTCCATTTTAGCAACCAGCACATAAAGGTGTTAAAAATTAGCCAGTTCCTTAATCTTCGAAAAACACACTGGGTGCAGTGTTTTGGGCAAATGATCTCACAATTATTTGTTAAAAGAAGCCGCCCTCAGTCATAATTTTTGGTGACTCGCTACTTTTGAAATGAACCCTGTAACTGAGGTGAACGCCCACAGCAACAGTTCTGAGTGGCAAGCTGGACATGGTCCTGAAAAGATCAAGTTACAAATAAAATTCAATGGCTAGATGATTAATGATACGTTAGATCTGACATGCACTTTGTGGGATTTCCTGTTTATCTTTTAACTTTTTATTAAAGAATCCAATTTTCAATTCCCAGTTACAGTTACAGTTATTAGTGAACTGGACAAATACTCTGGATTCATGTTGCACGCAGAGCAGGTGACTGAATAGCCTTTGCTCTTTGTGCTGCCTGTCCTTGATTTTGCAGATACATTTTGCCTTACTTTCATGATAAGATACAGAACCATTCCGCTGGGGAAACAGTTTGTTTTGGCCAGACATGGGATTTAAATGTGCTACTGTACATCTCTCACGAACATGGTGGAAGGCTGACAAAAATATTAGGAGCCCCAGAGCTAATAAATAGATTAATGGCCTAAGCTTTTTACACTAAAGATTACATCAAATGGAGGAGATATAAAACTTTTTCCTATTGATTTATATGCGATGGCGACTTACCGACACCAAGGTGAAAATGGTGTTTATAACGCCAACTCCGATTGTAGCGTAAACGGGCTGGGTGACACCGGCTTTTTCGAAAATACTGGTTGAATAGTAAAAAATCTGAGAGAAGTAAGAAATCTTGTTATTCCACATGAACCCAAAGACACAGAAAACGATCCGTAAGATCAGAAGGCTCTTGGTTTTGCAAGATCATGCTGTTAACTCACCGCGTTGACTCCAGAGAACTGCTGGGAAATGTGCATCATGAAGGCCACAAACAGGGGCTGCCGATACCTGCTGGAGCGAAGGAGCTGTAGGATGGAGACCTTCTTCTCCTTCTTGGCTTCTTCCTTTTCCTTCTTCATCTCCGCCATGTCTTTGGTGGTGTCATATTCTCCTCTGAGCCTTTTCAGACCTACATGAGTTTTAAAACAGGACAACAGAAGACTGCTGAACATTAATGACAAGACGCTGTGTTGATGGGACAGGTCAAAGTGTCACTCTTTCATGCAGCAGTACATTCCCACGGTGAAATAGGTCTGTGACCTCCGGTCAGATGGGAGTAACACACTTACACAAAACGCCTCAAAAATTCAAACGATTATTACAAGAAGGCTACAAAGGCAGGGGTCAAATGGGAACACTGATTTCAGAATAAACAACAAGGCAGGGACACCCAACACGGCAAATGGATCAGTGGAAATCAAACATGGATTGCCTGCACTAATAATCAGGCTGCTTATGCTTAACACTGTTTTCATTTTGCTCACGAACAAATCCTCCATTGTCACCTAACATGGAACGACTTTTTTTTACTGTGAAGCTAAGCCAAAAGGGGGCAGATGCCAAAACATTTCCAAGCAGTTTTCTCTGAGGGGTTTGCATGTGTAATAACCATGTGCTACGGTTCTTAACATAAACGTTAATGTGGGGGCGGTGCGGTGGCTCTGTGGCTGAGGATCTGCGCCTGTGGCTGGAAGGTTGACGGTTCGTATCCCGTGGCCTGCAGAGGAATCCTACTCTGTTGGGCCCCTGAGCAAGGCCCTTAACCCCAACTGCTCCAGGGGTGCCGTATGAAGGGCTGACCCTGCGCTCTGACCCCAAGCTTCTCTCCCTGTCTGTGTGTCTCATGGAGAGCAAGTTGGGGTATGCGAAAAGACAAATTTCTAATGCAAGAAAATGGATATGGCCCATAAAGTGATCTTTTCTTATCTTAAAGACAAGCTCATCACATGGGCCCTCAAACGATAGCATACATTTCTGAGCCTCCTCTTCTTTGCCCGCTTTGATGTAGAGATAACGGGGGCTCTCCGGACAGAAGGGCAGCAGAAAGCTCTGGAGGATGGCTGGTGCTCCGGACAAGCCCAGGAGAAGCGGCCACATTGTGGTGTTGCCCAGCAGGAAATCCAGACCAATGACCTACGTACACGCAACAAGAGCAAGTCACTGGCAGCCGGATAACTAAGGGCAACGTCATGCAGTTTTCAATAGTCAGCAACAAACGAAAGCCACTGTTCATACACACAATGAAGGGAACATCAATCTCCGCATATTAACATTATTAATTATTACTAGCATGTAGACTACTTTTTAGCTCAGCTCTTCTATTCACTGTTTTTCAATAAGGTAAAAAAAGAGATCAGTTTATTACAGGTACAGAGTTCTCGGTAGGGGTTGTTATTTTTAAGTGCATTCCTAGAGACATCACACGAACACATTTTGAAAAGGCAGGAGAATCTGAAATATTAAAAGTAAGCTGGGAGATAAAGTGAAGTTTGCTAATATGAAATTCGCTTTTAGGACACAGTCCCTTTTGCATGCAGGTACATAGGAATTTGAAATCAACCTTTATCTGCAAGTACCTTGCTTCCTGTAGGGGTTGTGTAGTGGGTTTGCCTTTGGACCCATAAGTGGTGCTTCATGAGTTCAAGCCCCTGTTGTAATTGCTGTTGTTATACCCCTGAGTGAGGTACTTTACCCCACTTGCAAAGTCCACCCAATTATATAACTGAAGGTAATTCCAGCAACAGACCGGTGTCCCATCAGTGGATAGGGGTTATGTGGTCTCTAGTTTACTTAATGTTACAACATAACATAATGACCTCTGGTATTGACGTGACCTGTATTTACCATGCTACCTTTATGACAAGGTATTTTAATTATCTAAGTGTATTCCATATTATCGTGAGGCTGATGTTTTAAAATAAAAAGCTGGATGAGCTCCTCAGATCAATTAATCAACTACTGGCTACTAGCAACTAAATGATCTATATTGGCCAAATGTCATTCTCTCATTATCCTACCCTTTTCTATGTTCCTATGTTTTTATATGTAGCCTATGTTCTTGTGTTCATACATTCAGGTTATTTTGGACTAATTCTTTAACATGGAGAAAAAGAATGCATTTGTTTTATTCTAAGTTAAAAAAAAACAACAAAAAGAACAAACCAGCAAGCATCTAAAACTCTGTCAAGAAAAGCCAATACTAAAATTACAAATTATGAAAACTTTAACTACATTTTTACACCTGCATTTTTTTACACAAAAGAAGATCAATACCAAGCATTTAAACACATACCTGGCTTATCAAAATTCCACTCACAATAGCCAGCTGGTGTAACGTCCCCAGTGCTCCTCGATATGCTGTTGGAGCAATCTCTCCAATATACATCGGAACAAGCCCAGATGACAATCCTAAAATGCACCAGTGCAATGTTATGGTACAATATTAACGCATTTCACCACATTTCTAGAAGCTCTGGAAAATTACCAGTGATTGAAAATGTAGGTAATGTGCTATTTGAATGTGGTCTTATATAGCCAGTGTAACATCGTAATTCCTTATACTTATATCATAGAGTTTACATATACAGGTATGATAACATTCATAATTATTTATCATAGTTGTTCCCAATAATCTGAATATTACAACACAAATACACTTTTACAATACATTATTCATTGTTATTATTTCTCTTCAGGGTAGCCAACAGTTACCATGCAAAGGTGAATTGCTAATCAAACGTTAACATCCTACGGTAGCTCAAAATCATTCTGGATTCAATGCGAGGTGATGGCTATGTGTGAATAGGTCTTACAGTTCTTATTCGGGGGAAAAAGCTAACAAGTAGAGGACCAGCTCATGTACATAAGTGATAAACACAAATTACCACAGTAAAAGCCCATGACTGCTCTCCCAGCAATGACCATGATATGTCCTGGCCCCATTTTAGCTAGGCCCATCAGCAGACCTCCAACCACAGCAAGGATGTTCACAGCTAGCATCCCTGTTATTCTGGGGGACGAACAAGCACCAGGAACATCACTGATACATTCTTGCACTCAAACCTCACATTTTCATTACAGCACAGCTTCCTACGAATAAAATGAATGTGCATTAGGGGATTGTCCATGTTCCCCTAGTTCTGACAATAAAAAGTCTCCAGTGAGCTTGGTGTTGGTGGGTTATCAATGGCCGATAAGAACAAATTGACAGGGAATCTGCGAGGCTCAGTCTTCTCACCTCCCTCGTACATCTCCAGCCCACCCGACCAGGAAGGAGGAGAACACACCTCCGATGGAAAATATAGACACAGACAGGGACCAGTACATCCTTACGGAAGGATGCGGATCTTCAATTCCACTCCCATTGGAAAAGAAAGATTCATTCAGTAGCACACCCAGAGTACGTCCATAATGCCTTTCAATGATCTGCAAAGGACAAACAGTAAGAGGTGCCTTTTTTCATATTTTCATCTTTCCTCAGCCAAAAGTGATCTGTAAAGGCTTCTGGAAAAGCTTTGTGAAGGTGTCTATCGGCTAACTCCTGGTAGCACACGATTTAAACAATAATAAAAATGAACAATCTACTTGTAGGCAGCTCTTTCAACTGATAAGAGCTATTTTTTTTGTCATAAAAAACTCCACTGCTTCTGAGCAAAATATTAGCTGTAATCACAGCAACCACGAATAATCAAAACCTTCTCAAATAAAGATTTCCAGTTGTTATCCTTTCCTTCAAATATCCAAGGCACTGCTTCATTTAGAAACTGCCATACTTAAAATACGTTTTAAGGGAAATTAATTTTAGTGGATTACACTATTTGTTTTTGCATTAAAGGGTATTTTAGACTTCATTACTAAATCGACATATTTCATTGTCAGAAACGAGGACGACTGCAATGTTTTTAGCCTTGTTTTAATAACCTGTATACCTTCTGCGGAGCGTTAATGACCCCCAGGCTGTATCCGTACTGTAGAGACCCCAATGCTGCTGTGAAGACCGCCAAAATCAAAGTGCCAGATATTTGCTACAAGAGAGAAGGGTTACACAATTGAAGGAATATACCGCAGCACATGTTAAAAGTAACAGCGTTTTGTTTTGTTTTTTGGAGAAAATAAAAGTCAACTTAAAATAGCGTCCGAAAATATTTAAAACGTACGATAGGTTTAGTTTTTTTCCCCCACCACTATCTTACATTTTTATTTTTCTAACGTGAGTGTTCGTAACGAGATGCACTGCAAAGTGCCATGGAAATAAACCTGGGCATCTGCGAAGTACACTATACCGAATCCACTTCAGTCTAAGAAAAAAAGTGTTGTTCTACTCCATATGGCCTGAGTCTCATTTCCTTAGTCATTGGTACATTTCAGGATGTCTCCCTTTAATATTCATACACAGACACATGGTCTGATACGTTTAATGAAGCAGTCCAACAGATAATACGAGCCCCGACCCGTGCAGAGAAAGACCTGCAGGCAGTCCGAATTCTTTCAAAATGCATGTTTGCTATTTATGTAAGGAGTCGTTAGGTCTGCTATATTTACGAGCAGAAACACGAAGGTGCCAAACGTTAAGCCTGATTCAGGTCAGGTTGAAGTCAACAAGTGCGGGGATAATTTAAACCCAAGGAGGCTACAGCAGGCGGTAAGTGCAGCTAATATCTTTTCATTCGACTCAAGGGTGACTATGACTTCTTCACATACCGCACCATATGGTTTATAGTTTTAAACTAGCATCGGATGCTGCACATTGGTGGTGGTGGAGGGGATCTCCATTACCTGTAAAGCGCTATGTAAGCAATACAATTATTATTATAAACGGCCCTTAACGAGTGCATTATTTAAATGACATTTCTTATTGTTTTCCATGTTTGTACAATGTCATACCCATCATGAAAAGATTTACATTCAAGTCTGTAGAACTCGATGGTCCCTATAGATTGTATTAGTCTAATTTGTATTCATTTTCTCATTAAATGCATTTGTTTATATCACTAATAAAGTGCTAACATTTGTTTTTGGTTCGTAGAGAAAATAATTTTCTTATATTTTATATAACTAATTATTCAAGTTATACACAATTATAAGAACCAAGTCCTTTTCGTGGACATTTTAAAATCAACCCCGAGTTATAATTAATAAATATTTTTAAAAACGTAAAGTTATTCATGACTGAATGATGGAATATCAAGCCGCACACAGGTCGTCAAAGAAAACACCTCGAAGTAAAATAATTGAAAATGTAACAAATGAATGAGTAAGAACCTTGGTAACGTTTTCATTCAATGCTACTGATAATAAAAATACAATTAATTCTTAAATCCACATTATTTAAAACAAGTTTAAAGATCTCAGTGCACAAAATAATAATGGATTTCTCCTCATGTACACCTGTAAATCAATGTCTCCAATATCAAGCCAGGCTGACACACACATATATACAGTATATATATATATTAAATACATTAAAATTAATAAGAAAAATACATCTTGGTCATTTGAAATAAATCTCTATTACCTTTACACATTCCATCTCTTCTCTTGTACTGTCTTAGCCCCTTCCCAATGTAGGAATACTCCAACAGCAGTTCCAAGGTTCATACACACAAGTGAGTTAATCACTGATTCCCAAAGTACCTCTGGATAATAATCAATCCAGGTGATCATGCTCCAACAGCATGCTGCCGCCTTCGCCTTCTCGGGAGAACACAATCAATCTGGGAATCCATTTTCCATGGCCCGTCCAGAAAGCTCTTCTGAATGTGCTTAAACCCACTAAAATAGGTCTTTCTCAACGCCTCTAGTTCTTATCAAGTACTTCAACGGTTGAACTGTGCCTTTTTTCTAACCCAGAAATGATTTCAGTGACGTTTTCACTTCATTTGATAAAATATTTTCCCATTTTCAAGGCATTTGTATTTTTTCATTGTCCCTTTAACCTGTTGTGTCTTGTTTCAGAGGAAGAAGGGTACTTGCTACCGACGCTTCAGTTTCCTCCTCTAAACCTGTCTACGTTGTTAACATTTTTTAATTTAATGGGTAAAATAGTTTGTACCTATAGTGTAAATGTCATTTTTCCCATGTACTGTAAGTGCATGTTAGCATGCTCATTCTAACAACAGAGGCTCATCATGGGCATTGAATATAACACACCACAACAAACTAAATGGCCTGTCTGATGTTACATACTGTATACAGTCCCTATGCAGCAAATAGTTTCTTCTGAGTTACAGTATAAAGTACATGTATTGGAATAGCAAGTCGTTGACTAATACAGAGGAAAAAAAAAATATTACAGTCCACACGTTGTAATACAAATTATCATTAAGCAGAGATCAAAGTCTGAAAGTTATACTGAGCACGATGTTCTATCAAATAAGAAAAGATTGCTCAAGTGCTGAGACAGGCTTTCTTACGTACGAAAATCTGAAGGACATGCAAATTTGTGCAGAATTATTGCTTGACTAAAGCTGAAGGAAGAAAATGCTTAGTTCCATTTGAGCTTGTGCTTTACCATTAGTTTCAGAATTAAACTTAACGAAAAGAGACATTACCAGTTAATTAAATCTCTTTGCGCGACTGTGTGGATTCAGAAATGGATTATGTGATTCAAAGCTCTTGGCTTCATTGAGAACACTCAACATCTCTAGTGTGATATGATTTCCGTAAGGCAAATATGGCAATTGTACACAGTACTACGATTAAGAAAACCTGTTAATTATCCCAAATGACCTTTTTTGACTTGGCCAGCGAGAGAACATGCAATCACACATTTTGTGATTAGACATAGTGCCTATTAGGAATTAATGTTATTAAGGTAAATTTGTATGTACGTGTATGAAAATAAACAAACTGTGGTGATTAGTCAATTAATTACAAATAAGGAATCACATCCTCTACTTCCATTAAGTGGTTATGAACCCTGAAATTCCTAATGTATCGCTAACAGAATCTCAGATTTTATCATATATCGTACTCTCTGGAAAGTGATAACTTATCATTGACAAAATGTAGTCACTACCATTATCAGTGCAGCCTTCATGAAAAAGTGCAGCTTGCAAATGGTATTGTTTCTGAAAATGCTTAATGGAGCCATTTTAAAAATGATTATTAGTAGAAACAGGAAATTAGAAATACCAATACCCACATTACTATACGAATACCAAATACACGCCTGAAGAAGGCTCCACAGCCGAAACGTTGTTTCCTTTCTTCTCTTTTCAGCGTGGAACAAAACCTTTTACTTGTTCCGCGCCAAATACTATACATGTATTGTAAACGACTGACAAATCCACCCGTGTGACATCAAAGTGTGATGATATAAAGATTGGTGGATTTCACTGATGGATTAAGTGCAGTAAAATGTTATCTGTACTTAGGGGACCCGGAGCCCATACTGGCAAGCAATTGGCGCAAGGCAGAAGACACCCCGAACACGAAGCCAGTCCATCTTAGGGCACACATTCGCACCAGGGCCAATTGTCCCCCCAAATCACTTAACCTTTGGACTGAGGGAGGGAAACCAGAGCACCTGGAGGAATCTCACACGAACACGGGGAAAACATTAATTGCACCCAGATACAGTAGCACCCCAGGAATAGAGTCCAGGGCCACAGCCCTGCAGAGCAGTGTTACTGTGCTGCCCTGCTCAGATCTCATTTGTGCTCTAATTTTTAAATATGTTACAGAAAACAGGTATTCAAAACTTGCAATGGCACATAACTTTGTGTATGTGGATAAAAACAGCACAGGACACAACCCCGAAGCAAAATCATTTTCAGGAACGAAGACAAACCAAAATCAGGTGCTAATTTCATTTATTTTTTTTTTAAAAACAGGACATTACTAATGCTTTTCATTTTAAAACAAACTCGTGACGGTACTCGGGAAGTCACAGATGAAGAGTCAAACTGTAAATAAGGAAGTCTTTTAATGTGTTCCAGTCCAAGCCCATAAAACCCCAGTCTAGGTATCAGTATCAGGAAAAAAAGAAGAAAGTGAGTATTCCTTTTCTCTCTACACCAGCTTTCAGATCTGAACAAGTAAACACGCTAAAATATTTCCAGAAAAAAAATCAATTCAGCAGTACAGCTTATTGCTAAAACCCTGTTCGAGACCTAATACCCCTAAGAGTCATTTTCCTTTAAAATTACTTATTCTCTTCTTAAAAATAAATCATTATGATGTGCAAACATTACATGTGACCTATTAATCCCTAGATCAAAAAGCTTTCTAACTAGTTTCCCCTCCTATTATACAGATATGAAGAAAATAATGCTAAAACATCCTTTTTCAAATAAAATGAAAATAAAATACCAGTTCTAATATATTTAAAAAGTCTAGCATTTTACTCCATCTGAACATTCTTTATGTTAAGTTCTTTACACATATCAATGGAGACCCACCAATTCACAGAAAAAAAGAAAACATTTCTTGTTTCAAAAAATACAGTGCACACATTTTCCGATCAAAAAAATAAAAGCATGTCCTGTACATAAATGTGTGTATATTTCAATATATACACACACACTTATTTTTACCTAGAGTGGTTAGCAAGGAAATTATCACGTATCCCATAATTTATAAGAAGAGATTATCTCATTGAATCATACCTGCTCTAACAGGGCCATTCACAAGGGGAAAAGAGCTTCTCCCAGATTCTTAGGCTACTGATACAGTAAATGCACAATGGAGAATTATTTCGAAGACAATGGCACAGCTCTTGAGGTGGAAAAGGGCTGGTCGTGAACATTCAGGTATCTCAGTTGTGAAAAGTGGGTGCCAGTGCCATGTGTGTTGCTACTTTTCTGGCTTGTTTCCAAGGCACAAGGCAAATGCATTATCCTGTTCCCTTTTAAAAACGATTCCTGCTGTTAAAGAACATGTTTTTTTTTCAGGGACTGATTGATGAAATAGACTGCAAATATTTTAGATGTGACAACAACAATGTGTGTCAAAATTGGAAAAACATACAAAAGAGGAATCAGTCCATTGTCTGTTAAAATCTTTTTCAACTGAGTAAATCAATCCAGTTTGAAATATACATATGTCTTTGTTGTTTTGGGGAAAATGTGTCTGCAGTAGTTTTACATAAAGTTTGTATCCCAGAGAGGAGAAAATCAAATTCAGTGTTCATGACTAAGTAACTAAAAAAACTATTAAGCAAAACAAAAAAATAAGTTATCAAGTGTCTATCAAAATGGCCTGTTACACCCCTCATTTAATATCATGCAATGCAATGTACAATTAGACGTCTTAATGGCAGGAGTGCCAAAAAAGTTCTGTGAAGACAAAAATAAATGTTATTCATACAACTACTGTACAATGAACTTTTACACTCAACTATACAAAAGATGTACATAGAGCTTGGGAGTTCAGGATTGACTGCATTTCAGTGCTTTTTCTGTTGCGGTTTGCACTGACTGATAATGTACTGTATGAAGTCACACACACTTTCAGAGGAAATCTCCTTGCATAAAGACCTGGAGATTTCCTCCACCAATATTGTAGGCAGTAAAATAATACAGTAACTCCAATCCAAGAAAATGAACATTCCCATTTGATCAAAAACCTACACAGACATGTAACAAAAAACAAACTTGAGTCTAGGCTAGAAAAAATAAAGAAAAAAAGCACACCATGACCAGAATAGCTTATTACAGAGACAAAGGTAGATTCAGAGAATGTTATTTTCTCCGATACAGCAGTTTCCAGTCTTTCTAAATGTTGAAAGACGGACATTTACAAGTCAAGGGAAATTCGCCCTGCCTTTTTCATCTCGATTTGGCTCTTACATAAAAAAATGATCATTCCATCAGTTCACTATCACTCCTTGTCACAGCCTTGCATTTTAAATTTGGCCGCATTTTGGCAGTTATTTCCCTATGATTTATAAAATTTCTCTGAATACTGGTTTTTTACGTAACATCTTTGAGTATTTTGGCGTTAATTTCCAAGGTGGTGAACACAGTGAATTAAGAATGTCAAACAGAATAGAGAAGAAATAAAAAACAATCACACCCCCCTCCCCCCAAAAAAACGAGGTAGGTTAATAAGAGGAAGCGCAACACACATATATTTTTATTTTTTGCAACAACACCCTTAATTTGCAGGCAGCCATGCTTGTAGCTACTTGTCCAGAAAACAAATGAAACGCTTAAAAATGTGAACATTTCTCCCAACACCGTTTCAGTGCAACGGTTTGGAAACAGGAATATGTATTGCAACATATACCCTCCAGAACACAGAATGTACATTTACAGATCCATAAAAATACAAGTTTCACTCAGTACACTGAGTGCACTTAGGGGGTTCCAAAACGTCCCAAGTGGCAAACTTGGTCACAGCTGGCACCAAAGAACAGGCACCCTGCACAGAACGGCAGCCATTCTTCTCAGCTTGACTGCTTGCTTTCAGCATCTGAGCATGGCACTGCCAGTGATGTGTGCCAACCTTTGGCCAAAGGTTACTGGTGACTTCAGTACCTCTTGCTGATAAAAGGATTGCTTATAAAACTAGATAATTGGAAGTTTAGCCCACTGACACCCTTAGCACACTGTTTAACCAATCCTTAGTTAGGTCTATTCTGATGGGGTATTCAGCTCCTTTGTCGCTGTTTTAGGGGCTCTGCTCTGCTGAGTGCACAGGGTTGCAAGCTGGTAGTTATTGATTTCAACAGTTCAGTGGGTATGGCACCCCATATTAGATGCTGACAAAGTGCACCGAGCTTTATCTCTCCTCAGTAGCTAGTGAGGTAGCTACATTTGGCAAGGACAGTCCTAACCAACTCTGCGATATGGAGAGCACACTTTGTTAAACACCAGGAAAAAGAGAAGAGATAACTGCATGGCTTTACTGTTTATCCTGACACAGAAGCATTTAATTTACACTTTCCACTGCTTTGCTTTTTTTTTAAAAAAAAGATATTTGTCTTGTTATATTTGCAAAGGTAGAGTGTTAAACATGTCTAAACTCCAGCAGGCAGACGTTTCTGCAATCTCCCTGGTCCAAAGAATAAAACCCTGTCCCCTCACAAACTCCCATTCAATCACCAAAAAAATATAATAAGGGAAAGATAAAAAAAACGGATGATAAAGTACAAAGCGATTGACAAAGATCTTTTCAGGAGACCTCCGTAATGCCCTCAGCCACAACACAGAGGCACTACTGTTCTCTTTTCCCCTTTGGACGTTGTTCATGGTGCGATACGCCATCTCCCACCTTCACGAGTCTTCAAGATGGTGCAACACCAACACGAAATCGCCACACAAGGGTTTTCTTTCTTCCCTTCTGGTGCAGGAATCCAACGCTCACGGCCAAAGTCTTTTTGTTGTTCATTTGTTCGCTTGCTTTTTTTTTCCTCCTTTAACTTATTATTTAAAATTTACCTTAAGTCTACAAATGTAATGCTGAGACGATCAGAATTCACCATTTGGATGCTAGTAAAACGTCTGTTACCAGTTCATCATAGAGTTTCTATTGAGGGTCATAAAGAAGACTTGACTGCTGCCTCCAGATCGAACGGAGGCAAAGAACACCTGCCGAGAAAAAAAAAGAAGTGTTGCAGGGAGTTAGAATTGTGCGCAAAGGATCCGTTTCTTGCTTTTCATCCCCAAGGACCCCAAAGCACTTGACATACAGGAGGGAACCCACTTCGACCACTACAGAAGTGCAGCCCACTACTGGGTGGTGCTTGGTATCCACTATGCACTAACCACCCCCCTCTGCAGCAGTTCCAGCAGGGCAGTGAAAGATTACTGCAGCAAGTCAACTAAGGGGAAACTTTAGGGAAGCCAGATTGTGGAACACAAGAGAGAAATTAAGTCATTAGGCATTTCCTTGGAAACCCTACGTTCAACCTTGCTTAGCTGTGGAGACTGGATGAGATCAGTACTAGGCAGCAATGCTGTAGATTTATTTTTAGAATGGATATAAGGTATGTCTGGAGTATATGCTGAATGCAAACATTTACAAACCCTGATGCAATTGTTCAGTCACAAAATACAATGGGAAGAATACATTCCCATCTCACTATAGGTTATCCAATTGTACAAAACGTTTACTGGCCTCAGAAATGTCTGCACAGTACTGGACAATGTGCATTTCTTTAGATGATACTTATGCAGAAAGGGAAATGGTTACTGTGACGAAAAATGCAGTGCGGTCCAAAAGGTAAATGGCGCAGACTGTGTCATCAAGGACACAAGCATCTAAAAAATACATTTCATATCTGTGCGGAGGTGTACCAGAATGTTAACTGAGTGCACAAAAGTAAGGAATACTTTTAAAATTTGTCTATTCCAACAACACTGAAAATTGTGTACTGCTGAGCAATAAAATTGCAGGGAACATGTGCTCATGGGCAATGACAGTGGAAACTGAACAGTTTCATACAGCTGTATTGTTACCACATTGTAGCCTAATCTCATCCGATTTCAGATGCCAAGCATGACTGGGTCTAACAAGGGGATAGGAGACCAAGGAAAATCAGGATGTTGCTGCAAGCAGTGTAGGTGACCTGTTAGTAGCACTGTACTGTATGAGGTGATGTTAACGTTAACGTTAACCCAAGTGTCCTGGCTTCCTAGTACTACAGTATGCCCTGCCATTTGGAAGTTCTGCCTAAGCTGAATTAGTGTAGGAATGTCTCGATTTATCACCTGATCTGCTGTGTATTGAGGCTGCTAGTTCATAATTAGTGCCAAACACCAGCCAAGTAGCTGCTGCACTTCAGTGGTGGATGAAGTGTATCTCTCCTCAAGTGCTTTGGAATCCTTAGAGATTAAAAGCACTACATGTGGAGAAATTATTAGTGATATTAATTACCACTTCCTTCCATGTAGACAGGCCACCACTGACATAAGTATTTGTCACACAAAGTAAGTGCCCTCTGGTGTGTAGTGGTGTTGTCATCAGGAAAATGAACCCCATGTTTACACATGTACGAACTTTCACTGCTCCGTGGTACCATTTACAATGATAAAGTGTTTGAATAGACAAATACTTTCATAAGAAGTGTTGATATACGATAATGATTCGCATTAGATGATGAATTATTGTGTTCTACCATGTCAATAATAAAAAATTTGGCATCTCATGTGAAAAAGTGCCCAGTTATTAACACCACCACCCCTTTCTGGCAGAAAACCTTGTTATATGCAAAGATGCGCAGCAGCAGGTCCCATTACCAAGACCTTGAGAATAACTGAAAAACCGCGAGCAAATCCTTTCTGGGACCCCTCCTGGGACCCTAGCTGTCTAAGGGAGAGAGACGAGATGCGTTCATCCCGTTACCTTGTCGTTTCTTTCGCAGAGGAACTTCAATCGCTGAGCTCGCTTGTGCATGAAAACTCCGTCGAGGTGTCCCGTCTCCACGGAGCGGATCTCAATGGCCTTCTCTCCCCAGCCCATGATCTGGTTGGAATGGATGTAGGCTGGAAGAAAGAAGGAGAGGCCTTACTCAGAGGCCTGCTGGCCCGGACCTGTCCCTCGTCAACGACTTCTGACGTCCAAGAGAAACGCAAAACCAGGAAGCGCGAAGATTCGGCTCAGCAAAGCAACCTGCACAAGGAGGTGATTATTGCAGCAGTTTCTAATGCCAAAAAAAAAAGTTTCCCCACGCGTTCTGTAGCTGTTTTTTTGAGTGTGTGTTTAGGAACTTGTTTGTTGAACCTGAAATTTTTTTCCCCACCCGTGTCTTCAGAAGAGAGATGCGTAGACTTCCGGCAATCAACTGCAAAGTACTGTCACATAGTAATAAGAAAAATAATTACCTGTTTTTTTCAGGTCCACAAGATTATCTGGGTCCAAAGAGAAACCCACTACGTCCCTGTTAGGTGTTATCTACTTAAATGCTAGTAAATGGGTAATAGAATGTTGTACAAGTTAATTCTGGGTGAAGGCAGAAGCACTGACACTTTTTTGTATCAGAAGCTAAATCTATACGGTTTCAGATTAAAAGGCTGGGCTTTACAACTAACTCAGATAAGGGGGTAGCATTAGGTCTATGACTACTCGCCAACTTTGGGATTCCCTACCTTGGAAGGGTAAAGCTTAGTAATCCTAACCCGACTGATTAAAACGTAACAAAATAAAAAAAGACACAAAAGATCAATTAAGTTTGAAAGACAAGACAAAAAACAAAGATAACACCCTCTTACTTGCTTTCCTTCATTAAAACTAGTGTTGAATTCTAATATAAATGACACCTGACTTCTTTCCCTTGTATTCTAAATTCTTACTCATGATATGTGTTCAGACCCTGCATCAATCTTCATTTCAAGCCATTACTGCTGAATATTGAGTGTGTCATAATTTCCCTCAGGAAACTTAAAAGTCTTCAGGAAGCTGGCAGAAAGATATCTTAAAGCATTCATTTACACTGCCAGGCAGTTAGTATGAACTAGGCAGTACACCTAGGTACTGTAGCTAGAGCTGAACCATTTCATGACCACAAGGACTACTGACCCTACTTGCAGTTAATTGGCAAACTCAATTATTGACACAGTTCTGCAGGACTTTTAGACCTTTAATTATTTATGCAAAAGAGGATGAATTTGGATACAAATCAGTCACCGAATTAATTGAATAAAGAATGTTAAAAGACACTGAAGGTCTGACACAAGTGCAAGGAAGAAGAATGACTTGTGATGTTTTACGATATATGCTGGACAATCTATCAAAAGCAGCTGACAGCTCCCATTTAATAATTAATGAGCCTCATCATTAGCTAAACCCCCAACAGGGCTGAAAATTAAAAATTCTCTTTTGAAACGACCAAAGTCAACAAAAGTGCTGCATAATGAAGCACAGCTAAGCACTCTAGTGGGCTGGCCTTTCACATAACACCTGCTTAGTATCTAGCTAACTACTGAAAAACAAATCAGCAAGGCCTCTAGCTACATTGTCGGCATGAAAAAATAGTAGTAATTAATACAGAAATGCATTAAAAATTCCATTTAGAGATCAGCTTTTCATTTACTGAGCTTGTTTGGAATGTATGCTGAGCACTACTGCACCAATCCCATTCATTGTAGTATTTTATTCCTGCTTGCCTTTTCTAACTTTCAGGTTTCTCTATATTAACTTTGCTTTACCCATTTGTCACTAAAATAAGATGCAAACATTTTTTTTTACAAAACCACAAATCCAATTTCCATCTATCCAGCATCAGTAATAAGCATCTACCAGAAGCATACTGTTGGCTACAAGACAGGACTGAGAGTCTAGCAGGGCTACAGACTAAGACAGCTTAGACGTAGCCAGTCAAACCTAACCACATATCTTTGGAAAGTAGAGGCACCTGGTAAAAACCCACACAAAGCCGGTGAGATCATGCAAAATCAACCAAAATCAATTCCAGAACCCTCAGGTTGGCCATGCCACCTGCAATTAATTTTTTTCCTAATCTATTAACATTTTAAAACCTCCTGATTCCAAAGGCTCAAAACACACTTTTTTTATAGTCTCCACACAGAACCAACTGCAAGAACCAAAAATGCCAGTGCCTCCTCATTACTGAATTACTGAAAACAATGGTAGCTTCCTTCAAGGACTTAAAAAACATTTATAGGATTGTAATGGTTAAAATGGTTAAGCAAGACAGGAAGGCCTGGATTTGTGACCACTAGACTCTTCAAGCAAGAGATCTTCATCCTGAAGCAAGAAAAAAAAACATTGTAAAACAAAAACAATTATTTACTTCTACTACGGGAGGCTGGAGTGGAGTTTAATTATCTTATTATTCTGTTGAACCAAAGTTGAAAGCAAAAAAATAAAATCAACAATCAAACAAACAGAAATAAAATAAAGGACAATAACAAAAAGCCTATAGGCTAGGGTGGGTGGTGGCGGTGATATTCACCTTTTAATTGGTTTGACTCCAAACCGGAAGGCTTTAAGCACCCCAATGTGTTTTGGGGTGTCTGTCTGAGGATAAAGAATTGCACCTACCGGTTGATTCAGAAAGCCAACCGGCTGAAAGCAGAATGAGCTTATTAAACCTACCAACAGAGGTGGGCATCTCTCCCCATTGTAGCACCACGTCTTTTGTGATTCTGCCGTAAGTGTTCACATAGACCCCCTCATCTTCATAACACAGAAGCATCTCCATTCCGTCTGTCTTGGGAAGGATCACAATGGCATGTGGAGTGATACTGCTCTGAATCTGGGGGAGGGAACATTGCAGATAAGCCTCTGTAGAACAGATCTCGATGCACAACAGAAACCAGGTGTCACTGGTACACCAACCCCTAGGCCAGAGCTGCTGCTGTGGAGAAACTGCTGCAACAATATGATCTCCCACTCAAAAGCCACGACAATGTACGTTTGGAAACCACACAGATGCCTGAAGAGTGAACTTTCCGGTTGCTTTGTTTTGCTGTCAAAAAGTCTTCAATTTTGATTTAGGTTTGTCAAAGGTCGTAGATCGGGGAGAAACATGTACATGACATCTGCTCTTGTATCTCTTTTTGTCCGTTTTCTAAGTTTAGAACTGAAAAGCAGAAATCTACTTTTATGTTCTTTTCGTGGAAGTATGACACTGTCAATGCGCTGACAACATAGCTGTAACACTTGAGAATAAAACATCCAAAGCAGCCAAAGAAATTCAGAAAGTTTACCTTTGCTGACTCTACTTTAAAACACTTGGACCATATTATGGTATAGTGATCCATTCCGTCATCTTAACTTACATGGGATGGGATGTAGACATCATAGGGATTCCCTGAATCCACATCAATCACGTGAAAACCAACGCTGGACCCATAGATAACCTTTAACCGCTGCCCTTCTTCAACAGTTAAGTCAACAAGTTGGGGCTTGTGTTGCAGGTCTGTAAAAGACTTGAAAGAAACACTGACAGCGTGAGCTATCAAGTCACATGAAGGCCACTTCCAAAACATATCCTGAAGTGCCAAAAAGCAGGTCTGTCTCCTTACTATTAGTTTGCCCTCAGCAACAATACCTTTTTAATAGCTCTGCCACATTCAGTCAGATGAAAAACGTTTACTCACTAGAGAACACAAGAAAATGAGTTGCTTATGACACTGAATGGCAGTGCTGAAAGTAAAAAATCTGTTGACTGTTTTTGCTAAGCTTCTTTGTGGAAGCTTAATTAAAAACCAGAAGGCCCAGTTAAAACTAGATGTTCAGAATGTCTAAATGAGATGACATGGTGCATTCAGAAACATGCGCTGTATGTTCACATTTTTATTTGATAAATATACAAGCACTGAATGACAATGTTTTATGGTTTTCATATTACCAGTATGCTAGTTAGAAGTATCTTACACTATCTGGAAACTATTAATATGACAAATACTGCAAAACACCCAAATCAGAACAGATTTCTATTATTTCACTTAAGACTCTTGTTGTTCATCATGTATTAAAGTACAAAACTGCCAACATATTTTATTTTGCTTCCCTTTGATAGAGAGTTTCTCAGAAGGGATCTGGGGACACCATACAGGCCACAGGGTGCTGTAAATGTGTTCATACCTTGAAAGCCATGAATTTATGGTAGGGTTTCGGAGCCCAAGCATAAATCTCCACCGAGTTCTTCAGAGCAATCACCAAGAACTTAATTCTTTCGTATTTTACTGGAATAAAGAGTTAGCAGACAAGTTACTTCAAAAGCAGCTCTTGGATTTGCAGGACAACAGCTTCTGCATTTCAGTCTTTAAACAAGCCAGCACCAATACTAGCTGGCACGAGATACTGGTATTTCTGAAGATCAGTCAGCTATAACAAAACCCTATCCAGCTTTTGGATTATAAAGAAAAAAACCCAGTCTTTGTTCCTGTTACTCTATTAGTCCTTGTTGGATTTTATTGTTGACAATGCGTAGCTCAAAGACGTACCGACTTTGTAGTGGACACAGCCCTCCAGCTCCCCCACGGTGATCCAGCCCTGCTTCTTTTCCACTTCTGGGTCATTGTGCAAAATCCGGTTCCTGAGCCATGACAGGTAATACACCCTCAACTTGTTCTTCTTTCCTATGAAGAACAGTACCACATATTAGTGGTCAATGGTGTGCATCTGCTTTTAGAATTCATCATTTCCCAAAAAAGAAACTGTTAAAAATCATCAAATACATAACTAACACCAAATACAAAAATCACAATCTTACACTCGTTATTATAATACAAGACTAATCAGTAATCTTTTCATGTTCCTCTTTTATCACGCAACAATGAAAACATACAACTCTAAGTGTGCTGTCATACTAGAGACTGCTGTCTTTAATAGTTATAACTAATCTGAATAAAGGGCAAACTGAAAAGCCTGAGGGAGGGTTTAATTGGATTTTAATGCGGACTATTAGCATACCAGATATAGTCACCAGGACATTGAGCCCCTCCAAAACATCCATCTGCTGAAAGCGCCTCCTGTTGATAAGGCTGTAGACCTTTCCCTGTCCACTCCTGTCCAGCAGCATCAGTCCGTTCTCAGTGCCCACTAGCAGGTTCACCCCTGAGACAAACAAACACATGCTGCTACAGAACGCTCCCACCAGAGGGCACTATGGGCAGCCACTGAGGAACAGCAACCATGCCGTTTCGTAAACATGGCGATCTCCAGAGCCAGGCTTCTAATCACAAGTTTTAAAAGATGAAACAACATAGGTGCTTGGAACAAGCCACAAGTGTTAATAAAATTAGGGAAAAAGCAGCATAGTTTTTAGGTTTTCTCACTGAAGCTCAAGTCTTACTTTCTTACAAGAAGATACACTTTCCAAATAGAACCAATATATTGAAACTGATTAAACAAAATTGTAGTACATAAAAAGAAGATATATTTGGCTACTTTCCATTGTGAATGCACTTTGTTTTGCAAGGTAAACTTTGCTTCCTGAAACATTCCCAGCTTTTATTTAAAAGACGGCTTCTCCAAGTTTCACAGCGATTGAAAACTGGAACGCTTATTGAAGCGGTTCACCTTTTCTCACACATGACTGGGTGCTATCAAGCAAATCTGAGTCTGGTGGTCCAGTGACTAAACTCACCCCACAGAGCTGCACACAGGATCTCCGAGCTGAAACGCTTCTTGTACTTCCGGATCTCTGGGGTGTCGCTGTGCGGCCGAATGTTGGTGGGGTTCACATTCACCACCGAGATCTTCCGAGCTTCATTCAGCTTGGCCTGCTCCTGTCGGAGCAGCTCGTTGGCAAACAGAGCTGTCAAGTTCATAGTACGCAATTACAGAGCTAATTCCAGGAGAACTACACATATTCAAGTAACTACACATTATTCCTGACAAACTAATACACAAGTGTTATGTAAGATAAAACCTGAACAAATAGTCAATATTATTCCAGGGCATAGGTCTTCAAACATTGATATGATTGCTCAAGGATAAAAGATAAGGCTTCTACAAGCTGTTACATCTAATGTGAGAGACAACTACACTTCCTTTCTGATCTCACTTCTGCCTAGACATGCTGGTTTTCCACTTCAACAGCACCATTTGTTCAAAAGCCAAAAGCATATTTTAAAATCTGAAACAGATCAAATTGCTATTAACTGGAATGTTGTCTGTTCCTCTGTGGTGGGTGACAGAACAGCTCCATGCTAATTTGTGCATTCGCCGTCCCTGGTCTCTGTCCGGCGCAGACTTACCTGCTGCCGAATTCTCGTCGTCGTCGTCGGTGGGAGATGTCTGATAGACCCGCGGGTCCACAAACGGGGTAAACGAGGCTTTCGACCCACTCCCGAGTCCATACTGTCAAACACAGTGTGTCCGGGGTTAAGACATTTTCTTCCTCGACCCTCATTTAGTTTTTTAAAATCAGGATTACAATCCAAAATCATTTCAACCGTCATTCCAACCCTGCTCCTGGAAAAACCCTCTTTTTTAATACTGAACAATGCAATGAAGAGACTGAATAGAAAGGACGCTGTCAGTACTTCTATGTGGCTCCTACCCCAAGATATATCCAGACAACAGGGAAATAGCTTAATATGATTAATTCGCCATATATATATATGCACTCTTGACGTACAAGGTAAAATGCAGTATGTAACACAACATCATGAAATTGGTCCACAGAGAGTAAAGGAAGTTGAAAGCTTTAAAAAACAAAAGATTTTTGCTCTAGCTCGCTGTGGCTACAAAAACACAAACAAACCAAAAACACCAATACGTAAACCAACATCCAAATGCAAGAAGCAAACGCAGAAAAAAAATAAATCACCCCACAGTCACGACAAAGAAGACAGGAGAAGATGGAAGGGGGTTCTGTCAGACGGCTTTACCATCACCTACTTCTGCGATGGAATCCAGATCTTGTGCATGCAGACTTGAAACCCGTCCCAGGGCCTCGGAGGGTGTACCCGAGGGGGAGTGGCTTTGCTGCACCAGATCGGGCAGATTGATGTGGCCCGCAAAGCCATTGCTATCGGTATGGCCAGAATGTTTTCTATCGCCCAACGTCTGCAGAAAGAATACAGGAAAGCGCTATTCTACACCAAGATCCAGCACACCCTACCCCGGCCATGCAGAACCTCGCAGGCAAGCTCTGTTATGGCGAGACGGAGATATTAAAGGAAGCAGGTGGGACAAAGCAGGCCTGGGAGCCAGTCCTAATGAGCATGCTCACAGAGGATACCACCCCTGATTTTCTGCCCTAGCTTCTTAATGAGGGTCACAAAGTTAGTTCCCACAAGACTTGTGTTGACCAACAAACTGAATTAATTCATATGCAAAAGCGTTACAGTAGTGCCTGACAAGAAATGTCATGGAGAATTCAACTGGTAGCTGTATACCAATAGTAAAATGGAGATTTCATACATCACTGTGAGCATGTGCAGAAAGGGGTTCACAGAAATAATGGGAAGAGATGCATGAAAACTCAAATAAAAACAGCAAAGCACACAAAAAACGCAGAATAATTTACAAGCCCTTTAACCTCAGCTAGTGATGGACAATGAGTGGGTCTCACAAAGAGACCAAAAGATGGTTTGATTTAAAGGTCTGAAAGCTATTTCTTTTAGCAGATATAGAACACAACAGAATACTGTACTGTATATACATACAGTATGACAACTTGAAATAACTTGGTTATTTTGATTTATAACTCATCTACACAGAAATCTACTACATTCAATAACCTTTCTTTGATTTCACTTGACTCGTATCCAGAATTGCCACATGAGACACTTTCAAAAATTTCCTCCCCAAAACATTTCTTGCTTGGGCCTAAAATGGAAAAGGTCTTTTCAGCTGCTTTGTTTTCGTTTTGCACAGAATTTTCTACTTTTCCATCCTAATTTCATTAAATCCTGAATTTAAATTACATGAACATTTATGAGGGAATCTCCACAATTAAGGCAATAATTCTTTTTTTGTCTTGTTAGTCACAGGCAAGATTTGAAGGCACACGTTACTGGCACTTCCTGTTTGAAGTCTTTTAATCTTCACCACACCAGGATGAAGCAGCTATTCAATACATTTTGAAAAGACTGAATTCATAAGTACAATTTCCTACCCATTATTAGAGTTAAAAGACAGTTGCACATACAGTTTATAGTACTACTTACAGTAGTCTTGATGGCTCAATCCATGTGTCCAGAAATCCTAACTGTACTGTGGGCATTCAGCACTACAGGACCCCGTATTAGGTCAAATTTACTAACATGTTTGGAATATTCTTTCTCTGTGGGGCTGGCTGATTTAATGACCTCTATAAATGAATTGTTCAGGTTAACATGGAGAAAGTGCTGCAATTAACTTTAAAAAAAAAAATTGCAAGAGAGACGGAATTAAGGATTGTGTATGGGGCCAAACCCGCTCAAACTTGTTAAATAAATTGCTGCAATTAACAAAAGAAGCTTGTGATTACATCTTCCACTGTGATTTTTTTTTCTCCACTGAAGAAAAACACAGATGGTAAGATAACACAATGAGAACAAGTTGTTCATCTGGTAGGACTCTTACCATTCACTGAGGACAATGAATCCTAAAACGTGCCATGTGTCTTTACATTACCAGCCTGAGGCACATCTTTAATTTACGCTACTTGCAATGCGGATGTGACTCTAAGGAGGCTGGGGCCGTGCTCCAAGCTCAGGTCCAGCTCAATGTCTATTACTTGCAGCTCCCATGGCAGAAACAGCGCCAACCTTGTGGATGCTCTTACCTCTCTCATCATCAAGGTGTCATCCTTGGAACCGTTGCCGTAGTTGTCTCCGTGAGCATCTTCATGGCTTCCCATCATATAAGAGTCGCTGCTGCTGTGCACTGCAGAAGGCCTGTTCGGGGAGAAAGACAGACGTCAGCCACATTTGTCCATGTGTATGGAGGAGGCCTGACACTCCATGTGTGTAGGTCCCCCTTTACACAATTGCAGGGCATGCTGTAATTGAGCTCTCTGAAAATGCTGGTATGTGAGGTAAGACCTGAACCACGGCTGAGTCTTGGCTGCACCCAGCTGATAGTACAGACAGAGGTCCTGCACTGGTTCCAAAGACCTAGAGGCCTAGGAAAGGCGAAGTGAAGCCTTAAAAGAAGATTCGCCTCGATTAAAGACACTAAAGAACATTCATGTCATTTTCCATTTGCAAATCAAATTCCAGTGAGCTCTTACATTATCCGGGGAATGTCGCTGACTGGAACAGTGCCATCGTGAGTCTCATTGTCAGCATCCTCTTCCTCGCTGCTCTCCGATTCCTCGCTGGAGGAGGAGTAATCGGTCACTTTGATGGGCGGGCGGTTTGTCTCGTCAATGCGCAACTCCCGCAGCTCCTTAGCCAGGGCAGTCAGGTCCTACGAGGAAAAGGACAGAGAAGGAGAAGGCCGGAGGGAGGACGTTAGATGTGGTCAACGTACATCCACATGTGTTTCTTATATTGGTTGGACTGGGCACACCGAACAGTCGTTGATTTATAAGTTGTGTGCAATGCAGAGTGTCTTTGGGATAACAAAGAGTTTGGGAAAAGACACCAAGGGGATTAAGGTTTTGATAAAGGAGAATCAAGATCAATACAAAACAACTTTAAGTACAGGCAGTAATTAATTTGAGGGCAAATTAATTAACAACTTAAGTCTGTCAGATGTTTCAGGGAAAGTAAAAGACACCATTAGTGAAAACTAATGAAAAAATCCTCATTAATTTCCCCATGTTTTTAGCCTTTATTTTGCCTCAAGCTTATTTTCCTTTTCCTTCCTTATTTCCTTCAAACAATACTTATCATTTGATTAAATTCATTAAGAGGAAGACTACAATTTCCTAAGTCTTAATGGAACATAGCTATGTGGATTGCGCATTTCTGGTTTTTATTTTATTTAATATTCTTCGTTTTAGGATTTTATAGGAGGTGCAAAATGAAGTTTCCATTAAAACAGATTAAGGACGTTGAAATGTTGGTGGAGTCCTATATTTGCCTTGACCTGAGAACAACAAATTAATGATGTATGGTATACAGTCAAATATATGACATGCAATTACAATGCCTGATGCGTAATAATAATAATACATAAGAAATAAGGATGAGTATACAGTTAAATGACAGCCAGCACCATGTTACCCAGAAGATTCAGTCCACAATTGTAGGTTAAAGGTCCAGAAAACACAATATTATTCTACTTGCTTTCACCTTACTGTGTACCACCAATATCATAATAGAGAGAAATCACTGTCATGTCAATAAGTTCCTCCTAAAGAGGTTCACACCATCTTTCATGACCAGTGATGATTCTGTGAACAAACTGCTTAAGCAAGACCCAGATTTTTCTTCCTCTTTGTAATAAAAAGTGTTCTTCTTAATGAGAATCTGTACTTTTATTTCCAGGGGAGGGGAGTTCATGTTTATCATGCACTGCAGAGCACAAAGGGCACAAGAGCAGGAGCACAAGAGAATACTGCAGGCACCAAGCCTCTGACTGGAGGGGCTCTTCTGCAGGGGCGACTCATTCTATCACACAGCATGCAAGGGGGTGATCAATTTCTCTCCGAGCACCAGTCTTACCATCTCCTCCTAGTGACCAGCACAGTCATCGGGTGGGAGGGAGTCAGGGAGAAAGAAACCCATTGAAAAACCTATAAAACTCCACTCTTTTTCTGTACTGCTGAGGGGCTTTAGAGTTCACCTGAGGGACTGTCTTTGGAAAGAACAGCCTTCCAACTGGAAGCATTTTTCAAAGACTTCAGACGTTTCATAAAACATAAAACTATATGCACAGCTAAAATACTTGTCAATTGGTTAAATTCTGAAAAGAGAACTATAGTAAAACAAAAATTCTGAACATGAAAAGACCTGTTACTAAGCTTGTACAGATGGTAAGCACAATGTACAGTATATACAGTACTTTAGACAGTTTTTTTTTGAAGAACGGATAACTACTGTTGGCCACACCTAAAAGGGACACTTGTGGCCTTCTCATGCCACACTTTCTGAGAAAATGGCTGTGCAGGCAAGTGCAATAAATTGAAAGGCTAGCAAATTACATGGTTCATACTGTATGTACGCTGGATCAAAACCCAAACTACTTCACTTCTGTCTGAGCATCTGACCATGTAAGAAGGAAACAAGACTCGCCCCTTTTTGATCTTCAAATGCTGTGGCATTCCACCTAGGAGCCTGAGCAGCGCCAGAGAGAGACAGAAATGAAGAGGAAATGTGACACTAACCTCATCTATGGCTTTCTTATAGCTCTGAGAGAAGGAAGGAGTCAGCGGTAGAGGAAATGGAGGACAGCAAAGGCAGAAGAAAAGGGAGCAGGTGAGAGAGAAAATGAAGACGGGTTAGTTCACAGCTACCGGCCAGAATCCTATTTACTTCTAGGGTATGGCCTTGCTTGCCCTCTTCAACACCACACGCCTACAACATGAGACTGTGGTAGAGTCACTGTTAAGAATAAACTGACACTCAAACCGGTTTCTGGAAAGAAAGTATGAATTTCAATAACATTGATAGCTGGCTTGTACCAGACTCCCACATCCCTTTGTGGAAAAAAGTGTCTCCTGTTGTCGGTTTGTACAGTATCCTGTGCTGTAGCTAGAGTTCACCACCCCATATTCTACAAACTCAGTGTGTATTTTTGCAACTAATAACACAAAGTATTTTTCCTTAAAAAAAGCAGGACAGGAAACATATTTCAACTCTAAAAGGACATACAGACCACAATGTGGTAAAAGAATGCTACCATTCACCTAGCTTTACCGTAATAAATGCTTTGCAGTGCGCATATGCACCTGCTTACTAACAGAGAAACTTTATCAGCAAATGTTTTTCAAGCATTGTCTAGAAAGAGATACACATTGGGATTCACAGTTTCAATTACCAGAATCTAAATTTCTACTAATAAATTCTATGAATAGAAATATATAAAAATTATGCCATTTGAAAAAGTTATCATATGGATCTCCTGTTTACATCAATAACAGCGAAAAATACTCTAAAAGATCTGAAACAAACAAGACCAAATCAACAAAAATCTCCTATGTTGTAGTGCCCTTGGGGGCATTAGCAAAACAGATAAAGGAGTAATAAGTACATGTACTTTCCTCAGAGAAAACTTTTAGAATGTCTTCTAACAGCCCGATAACATGTTGGACTTTAATTTCAGAGTTTGAATACTTCTCTTTAACCAATGTCAAAATGAAGCTGAATGACGTGCTGTGTTCTTATAGATAGGGATCCCCAATAACCTTGGCAGTCATTTCCCTGTCGTAGTTGTCTTTTAATCTTTTCCACAGGCACTCACACAATACTTAATTCTGTTCTTCTATCAGCTTACTTAGATAAAATCTACTTGTGCATATTTTCTTTTTGTCGAGCACACAACCCTTACATAAATGTATCTAGTAAGCATGCTAGGACATGTAGACCCGTTACAAGCAGCAAACAAACAACCAGAATGCTAAATGTTAAACAAAGACAGTTGATAACAAATGGGTTTAGTAAAATGAAGTTAAGACTCGGTGATGAAACTGCACTTTGCATCTTTTGGAGCTGTGAAAAAGCACATCTATTTGTCAAACCTGATGAGTAATGTGGATGGATGTCAGAAATGTCATTTTCAGCTGTTAAATTAGCGCTTAGCCCCTGCTGATCCTCGATAGGCCTGTCAGGGGGTGGGTTTGAGAGTGACCATGGGGAAGCTCGCTTTGGGATATTCTGGACTGACTCACAGCAGGTCTGCTCGGCCTGGTCACCTCCCGCTCCTCTGGTTTCCCCTTGGAGGACTCATGAGTCACTGCAGGGGTTCCTTCGGGCTTATTTGATCCTGTCAAAGAAACAACGACAGGAAGAATGAAAAAATGAAAAAAGTTCCTGATTTTACAGAACTCTGGAACAGTATGCCCTCGGACTGTTATCCAGGCCTCTAGAAAGTGGGTGGTTTGTGAGTCCTGCTCATCAACATACTGATTCTTTCTTGTTGCTTTTTTCCAGCACCTTGTTTCAGCAAAAATTAAATATAGCCATTAAAAAATGTGCTTATATCCCTCCGAGCAGCCAATGATGCAGAGCCGCCATGTTTACTTAGGCAGCTGCTACAAAGGTTGCCATAGAGGCAGATCAGAAGCTAACAACCGTTTTGTATGGATCACTGAATCTGTGAAAAACTATGATCTGCACCGTCAATTTTTCACACACTCCATCACAAAATTAAAAGGAAAGCTTCCCCAGGTAATATTTCATGCTTAGGAATGAAAGCTTATAATATTATAAATATATTCCTTTATCCATCCCTTTTCCCACAAGAGCATCCCATTGAGCTCAAGGGGAGAACAGAAAAGTTGAGCTTTTTCCTTTGGTAACACAACAGAAATATACAGGGTACACTGCCATTCATGTCGCCACCCAATGTGCAACGACCTAGATTTCACACTGCCTGCTGAGAAGACTTCGTGCCAGTTTGTCACTGAAAAAAAATTGAGTGGTTTGATGGAAAGCAGACACCAAAATCAAGACATCTGTATGCTGACGCCTCAGAGGTGATGTTCATGGTGCTACGAGAAAGGGAGAGGCTCAAGCCAGCTGGAGCTCAAGAGTCTTGTTTTCATCAGGTCTTTTGCGGTCACTGAAATTCATCAGCACTTCATCACAAAGATTCAAATCCACATAAGAAAAGAAATACTGATGTAACACTGTATTGTCAGTTGTGAGAAGCTGTAGCGTAGTTCCCAAGGAACTGTGAAGAACTGTGAGTTCTTAGACAATTATTTAAAAAAAAAACACTCCACAGAGGCCTATGGAGTTGATGAGAAACATTTATTTCTTCCCTCTTTAAAGTAAACTAACTGCACATTGAACTTGCCAAGTGTTCTATACATTTAGAAAGGATACTGCTGGAAAATGTGTATATGTATTTCAGCAGATAAATTAATAAGAACCTTTAGAGATGTGCAACATTGTCTCTCTTTTCGTAAACGCTGGGATGTAACTATGCACCGGAAGGGGTGGAACGGAAAAGGCCTCAGTACAGTTATCTTACGGGCCCAACATTAGCACGTCAAACAAGAAACCGCCCCAGCGGACACCCCTGGCAGCAGTGCCCCCCCGCGCAGGCCCGTCTGTGCAGGGACCCCTTACCTCCGATGCGGTTCCTCTCGCTGGAGCCAGCCTGGGACCCCGGCTGTGACCCCCCCTGGGAGCTGGGGGTGCTGGAGCTGGAGGAGCTGCCGCTGCTGGTTCTCTGCAGCACTGTCTCCAGGGCAACCTCGGCCTTCCGCAAGTCCGGGTTACTGAATAAACACACGCGCACGGGCTGCGGCTTAATAACGGGGCAAACAAAAAGCCTCACAGCACGCCCGCCTTCTTTTTATTGAGATTTTCCATACGCCAGATTGAAGGTTACGAAAACAACAGCTGTTCGGTCAGCCTCAGAAAAGAAGTGATGAATATTTATGAATAGTTTCAAATATTAATAACGAATCTGCTTGCAGAGCATTACTGTACAGTACATTAGCTCTTTCTAAATTCTTTTTTTTTTTTAAACGGGGTTTTTCACCTCTTTTGTTCTGTAATTTAAGTAACCAGTCTGCCCCTTTTTTCCGTTACCTGGCGTGGATAAGTGACCCGGCTCTGATTCCCTGGCTACCTCCGTTGCCAGGAGAGTTCTTCCTCACCAGCGCCGGAGAGATGGATGTTGTTCTCTGGGGCACCTGCAAACACCCCCCGTAAAGACAGAAGAACAAATCTGAAGCGCAGGCACAGTGGCATTTTGGAAAAAAAAAACTGATACGTTTTTTTAGAAACTGTCTTGCAAATTAATGCAGCCCTTCATTGCTCTTTTCAGTGTTTCAGGTGGCTGACCTAAGTATTTAAATAGTTAATACACATCTGCTGGTTCAGTGCACACATTCACTTTGCATTTGTGTTTAAAGATAACCTGTATTCTTTTGGGGTTTCATTAATGTTTATATGCCGTTACACGTGATCTTAAACTCATACAGTATATGGGCTGCTGGGTACTGCCCGACTGCCCTCAGCAGTTCATCTCTGCGTTCACATCCACACTCCGGTACATAGTACCACATGACTACTGCATTTTACACATACCTGTTTTATCATATATTTTTTTTAAGAACGCTGACTACAAGAAAGCTTAAGCCTGCGCAGTCCCCTGCCCTCTGACCTTCGGTGGAATGTCTTCCTCCTGCCTGAGCCAGGAGCTGCGGTCGAACTTGTCTTCCCGGCTGGCAATGCGTGGAGGCAGGGGGGGTGTCTCAGAGGTGGGGTCCGAGTTCTGCCGAGGCATCTCTGGCCGGTGGGAGATTATACCCTCCTGGAAGGCAGAGACGCCCTTAGCTGACTGGTCGTGCAGGGACTGGGAGCCTGTCATGGACGATCCGTGGGATTTCACAGGGACCAGGTGTGCCATCTGCACCGGGGAGGGAGAAACTGAATAAAACTGACAATGTCCTGGAGCACATCAATCACAGTCACATGGCAAGTAAATGACCTACAGTACAATATGCTGTTCTAATCAGCTTCTGACCTCCTGGGACTGAACTTTCCATGACATGAGATGCACCCAAGGAATGACAACAACGTGTGTAAGTGTTATAGTTATGAAAGTTTTTTTTCTATATTACTGATAATTTTTTTTTTCCCCAATATGTGTTGCATTATAGAATTCACATTTATTAAAGGCAACTGCAGTCCCAATTTCAAGGACTGGTAATTATATCTTGGTAACTAAATTGTCTTAATTTGGAGTTAAGCACCAAATCATGACCTTTGTGAAAGTCCTGTATGGTCACCATGTTACCACGAGTGAAAGCGAGGATTGCACGAATTGTGACTTAAACTGGCCCTTCCTGCTCACTAGTCACTGTGATGACTAATGTAATGTGATGTACCGGGAAATAAGTACAAGTTGTGCAGCAGATATTTCACCTCAGTAATGTTCCAATCTGATCAGCATGCAGAGTTAACAAGTAGTACTTGTCTGCTAAACCGTCTCAAAGTCGAGAGCAATATTTCTATTGCATTAAAAGAGATGTATTCACAATGCCTTTTTACAATGTAATAAGGCAGCAACAAGTCACTGGAAGTCCCGTTGCCTCCTTCTGAATCGCAGAACATGGTGCTGTACATACCTGGAAATGGTCTATTTTGTCTTGTAAATTGGAGATTTTTACATGTTACTCTGACATTTTACGTTCATTGTGATTTGAAAAGCATTTGCAAATTCTTCAAGGTAAGAAGACAGAGATTTGCACAGATAAGGAAGCTTAGCTTTCTCCACAGTGCACAATCCTGGGGTACCTGAGGCTCCACCGGACGATGCATAGGTGGGGTTCTGGCAGGCTGGATTCCACTGCTGCTGAAAGATTCAGAGCGGGGTGGCAGAGAGGGGTCAGAGATCCTGTTGGTTACTTTGTGCTGCATCCCTGGAGAGCTCTGCCGGTTCAGCTTTGAGCGTTCTTCCACCTGCAAATTCCCAGTCAGGAAGCCTATTAGACCAGGTGCATGACACAAACCTCACCAGTTCCCAGCCCCATTGACCTGCCCCCTCCCCCCCCTTCCAGACAGACAGCTCTCCCAGTACAACAGTGACCATCAGAGTGCCTAATGCACAGCAAACTGAACCAACATCTGTTTGACATCTGGAAATTCTTAAGTGCCTGCAGGTACTATAAAAAGTAATTTCTATGTGAAATGAAAATGTCTGCTAACGTATTAGAAAAATATATGCCTTATATAAGGAAAGATATGAAAGAGATTTTTAAAATGCTTTTCAAATATTAGAGGGTTATTGTAAAAGCATGAGTGGATTTCTAAAATAAACATTTGCAAATCTTGGCAAAGAAAGTTAGTTTCCCACATTTCTTATTGTTACACTATCAATACATTATTTGCAGGACATTTTCAGTCTGTAACATTATTGAACTTCTTTGCAAAGTAAAAGCTGTGATACCCTATTACAGATGAAAAGGAAAAGAAAGCAGCTCTAATCTTCAATTACTGCCTTTTGACTTCAACAGAGCTGCTTCCATTTTCAAAGTTAGCCAAACATAAATCAAGGCTTTGAAGGCAAAGCAGGTCCCTTTTATGTTCAATGAGTATTTCCTCTCAATAGAAATGTTTTATGCAGTATTTGAGCATTGTGTCCCTCATTGTGCTGGAAGAGAAGTCTGTACAGAAACCAGCCAAGGGCCAGCCACCTTGTTCACTTGTAAGTACCCGCAGAAGCCCCACAAACCAAATAAAGAAGAGCAAACTCTTAAGTCAGCCCATCTATAGATTGAATCACTCAGTCAAAACACCTTTCAGAAGACTAGAAGAAAGTGATGGGATAAAAATGCTGCTTTTCTTGCCACCATCTTTCTCTTAGTATTCCCAAGGCTAAGTAGAAAAAGGGAAGGAAACATCTGAGGAAGTCCTTAGTGACTTCACCTCATATCTTTTCTATCATCTACATATTGCCCCCAGGAATAAGTTAGGACTATAAACTGCACTCCTTAGAGATTTGAAATGAATCTATACAGTATGTCAGTGCTAAAGAGCAACCTTGGAATGGGCAGCCTGAAAAACCTTTTCCTTTTACTCCACAAATTGCCAGGTTCAAAAAAAGAACCTTGGATAGAAACACCTTCTCATATGCACCCTAGAAAACACAACCTCGGGAACTCAGTCATGCCTTAGGAAAATGTTCTTTCTGTTTACATGACAGACTATCTAAATTAGAAATCTAAAATTCACAGGGAAACAATGACACAGTGAAAGTCAGTGAATACAGAGAAAAAGTCCTATGTTAAGACAAAATAAGAAAGTCACAACACTATCAACCCCTTTTTCTAGCAAGCCACCCAGCTGGTTGGTAATTGCACGATGATCAAATAGGTTTATGCAACAACTAAGCTAGAGCAAAACACCACCCTTAAATAAAAGCAATCATTGAAATGCACCCACAGTTTACAAAGAAAAGCCCATTACCTACTGAAAGAAAAAGGCTGCCATTAGTAATTCACATGAGCAAGTATCTCCTTCTGGAAAGGTACAAGATACAGGAGTACACGATGCTGTTGGGCTGAACTAATGCTCAAACCAAAACATCCGATTTTAACCATGTACCTGACTAGATTAAGCTGACATCCCAATGCCTTCCTAAACTCCCAACTTTAACCTTAACCCTTTCGCTGCAGTTATAAAGTCAGTGGAACCGTAATACTCCTGTATCAAGTCACATCCGGAGAAACTTCCTCAAGAGCCTGCTCCGGGAAAAGAAAAGACTGTTATTGCCTCACCAGAGGAATTACCGGATAGCAAGATCTGAAAGAAAGATTTTCAGAGGGGGGAAAAAAGGAAACCGGGCCAAGAGTTAAAATGGTATTTCTTCACAAATTGATTGTGGCGTGGGTTATTGTTGGCTGTTTAGCAGGAATCAATGCATTTTCCCCATCCAAGAACAATACATTATATAGAAGATCTGAGTGAACCATGGAGTTTTGTGAGCAGCGGGGACGTGACAGCAAGGAGGCAACTGATTGAGCATGTGAGGATTTCATGACTGAAATGTCTTCTTGGTCTTAAAGAATTAATGGGCTTCTAGTTCTGCTTTGGTTTTTGTGGAAGTGCAGCCACTGTTGCTTTATAAGCAATTTTATAATACAGGCCAACTCATGAGGGATGCAGTGACAAGATGGCACTACATTCTCTAAACTCAAAACGTCTATATTGGAAATAAAAACTAAGCTACCCTATTTAACACCTGTCAGAGACTGGAGTCTCCTGGTGTATGTGGTATATAAATATATCAGGTGTTGTCTTTTATAGAATTGTATTTTCTATATTTTCTTTGTATTTCTTTGTATTAAATACAATTCAATTCTGAATTGTATTTTCTTCTTTTATAGAATTGTATTTTCACAATAGCGACATGTTGCCATCCAACATGTCGCTATTGTGATCAGGGGTCATGGGTTAAGGGAAAGTCCATCAACTGGGATAATTGATGACAATACCAATCATCATTGTTCTATGATCCACATATCATAAAAACTAAAACAAAAGCAGAATCGTCTTGGTTACTTTATGCTGTATAGCATGAACAGTATCATGCCACATGCACTTCTACGGTTAGTTAAAATCTATTTAAACAATGCAATTCTTTCCAGGTTCTAGCAAACTGATTTACATGTGCTCCAGTGCACAGATGACAGAGAGTTTGAGTGGAGCAAGGGACTGGAGAGGAAAGGACAGTGATAATTTCTTATGGGTAGAAAACAAATGCAGGTGACATCACCCTTCAGCCAATAAAACCAGGTGATAAAAATCACATGGATGGACATCACAGGCCAAAAGCAGACATTATCAGCAGGTGGCTGACTGTCTTTGAGCCTGCAACCCAGCATTTCCAACAGCACTATTTGCATGGAGCGGTGGAATAGGCCAGTAGGACAAGCCTGGGAATAAAATACAGCAGACTTGTCCCTAAACTGTCTGTAAGGAAAGTGCAATTCTGCCACTGGCACACGGGATTCTGAAATGACTCCACTCTGCCCATTCTCTCTGTATGCTACAAGTGAAGTATTAAAACCCCTGTAATTAAAAGCACAGAGGACGTCTACCACTTTGTTCGTAATCCTTTGTTTGCTGAACCCTTATAATTGCATCAGGACACTAAATGCATTCAGGGTTAATTCTATGTTAGTTTTGTATAACACGTAGTTTGAACTTTTTACATGCTTCGCAAACCCTAAAGCCTTGTGTTCAACTGCCTGCTTGCTGCCTCGCATTTCCAGAAAGGCCAATTCACCACCAGTTTGAAGGTTTTGCGGTACAGCATTGCTGTGGATAAATGACAAAACCTTTTGCCATCCAACATGTCGCTGTAATCCGGTCACCGACTTCTCAGGCTGAATTTTCTGGATGGGCTGGCTGGATGATCGACAGCTTCTCCAAGATTTAAGGCAGGATGTTCACAGCCAGTGAATGGGAGAACTCCGTTTAAGTGGGCCGTGACTAATAGGTTGAGTACAATTACAAGCCGGAAAAGTTGGAATGGTAGGCCAGGACATTGGAGATGGATGAGGAGAAAATGCTATTCAATCAGGGCCTTGAAAAGTCTTAAAAACGGGACAGGCTCAGCAAAAATGATCAAACTGGCCAGCTGAGAATGAATTCAGGGCATTTGTGGATGTTCATTTTTAAGCTTCTCAAATAAAGCAATCAGAAACACTTGGCAAAAAGGAAAGGGGGAGTTGCTTTAATGACACTTAAGGGCTTTGGAGATGATGTAAAAGTGGTCCACTGAAACAGAGAAATTTGCAGAGTGCTGCACTCCAGTCAGGAACATACTGTATAACACTAGCAAAACTTTGCATCCTGAGAGAAGAAAGCTTCTGTTGGTATCCTGCAGGCTAAATGAGTCTTTACAAGGATAAAAAAGTATTTAAGATAATGTTCACTTAAATCAATTCTGAATCATTAATGTATTTACAATTGCAACATTAAAGTGTATGCAGTTACTTCTAAATGCTAAATACTACAATGTAGCAAGTTCACACATATGACTACAGTGCCCACACTGTCTGCTATGCTACATCTGATTTACCTAAACATGTTCTTAGATTAAAATTCTTCACATATATTTTTGTCACTCATTAATTTCAAGTCTTGGACAAGAGAAATAACTGGAGTACATTTTCAGAAAGGGCAATGGTTTCAACTTTTCCACAAAATGTTACTGATGCATATTTCCCCCTATAGAGTGTTTTGAGCAGTAATTCTCAGTGAATTAGGCAGATAACAAACTATGCTTCATCAAAGAATGGCTGGCAACAATGTTTTTGTTGTCAATGAGAAAGATGAAGGAAAACACTATTGTTCAAAGATATCCGACATGAAACCGTTATCTTTGACTATCAAAAGACAACAGTTAAAACAATTCATTTCATTGGACAGTGCAACATTATATTCCTGAAATTTCAATTGGTTAACTTGGCTTTTCAATTAAGATTTACTCCAGCCAAAGTAACACAGTTCCATTAACAACACAATAGCTACATTAGAGGCTCTTTTTATTTGTAATAACAAACATGAACAGTGTGCAGAATAAAGACTTACTGAATATTACTATTTCTTGTCTTTTTAATATTTATAGAACAAATTTAAGCAGTCCTTTACCAGAAAGCTGCTTGATCCTGTTAAGGGCTGTGGTAACCAGCACCCCATCCCAGAGGCGCAGAGCATCAAAGGGGAACTACACACTGGACAGGACACTCGTTCATACCAGGATGTGCACACAGACTGAGGGTCTGAGAGGCAGCACCACTGGATTGCAGTGACATTTTGGTACACTGCTTAAGCGTTCAATGGAAGACACTGTGTAGAAATACTATACATGCATATGTGTGAACTTACTCCATAAAAGATGCATATCTATCGATTTATGTGTAGGTTACATACACAACATAAAATGGGTAAAATACCTCATCAAAATCTTGTCGCATGTACGATAGCAATACATGGTTTTCTATCTATAAGGAAATGGAAGTGACTTAAAAAAACGGAAGACGTGAAGTTAAAGACTTCACAGTAGGCCAGTGACTGCTGCCTATTGCCCGATGTCAATAGCTGGCAGAAGGTGTGTGGATCTGAAAGGAGAGTTTCCTGGAGAACAAGATCGGGAGCTGTGGGGAGAATTGGAATGAGAAGACTCGGGGGAAGGTGCAGGGGACGACCTAGGAGACAGACCCATCCACTGCAAGTTCTGCATGGAAACATCATACGTTTTTCTTCCCATGTTTTTCAACTCTGCGGCCCACTTTTGGCCTACTTTTAATGCGCTGCTACCACCCTGGGCCAACAAGCTCTGCTTTGGCAGATGGCTCAGCAAACCTTTTAAGGTGTGCTCTGGGGCAGAACCAGAGAGAAAAGCATCCGGGGAACCAGCATCACAGTTTTCCAGTGAAGAAATGGAATTCCTCTTTCTGGGAAGGAGTCCCACAGGCACCTTTAAAAACTTATTGGAAGACTCTGAATAAGAACGCCTTTCTCTTGGGGTAAACATGTGCCTTAATGAGTTTTCAGGGGCTGAGCTCGAGAGCTTAAATTGCCATGAGCCAAAGGGCCCCAGGTCCCACGGTTCTTCTAGGTTGCCGAGACTCGGACACTTCTGAGGCTTACTTAAATCCTCTCTCCAGTTTTCATCTTCACTATCAATCTCAACCTCTATTCTTTTACAAGGGGAGTTAGAATTTACCCTTCTGCAAGGCTTGAAGTCCTGGGGAAAGACCTGACTTGCAGCTTTCCTGCTGGGGCTCCGTCCTCTGGCCTCAGCTCTTTGTTCTTTCAGCTCTTTGACATGTAAGTCAACCTGTTGTTTAAGTCTCTCCTCTTCGGTTGTCATGACTGAGATCTGAATTTTGGGTATGTTCTGAGGCAGGCAGCTCGCTTGCTTAACCGCCTCAGATCTGCTGGAGGAAATCGGGTTAGGTGGATGGAGTGGAGGTGCATGAGCATCTTGCACTTGGCGGAGGTTGGGAGTTTGATGGGTCTTAGATGGGAGGCGAGGGGAGTGACTTTGAGACCGTTTCATAACCTGGAAATGGGATTACAAAAGCAGTTACGAAAAGGTTAATGTCAAAGCAGATTACAGCAAACAAGCACCATTGCACCGTGCTCCGACTGAACACAGATCGTACGGCATACAGCTTCCACGTCCACTGAAATGACTGTACCCATCAACCATCTCTATCTGTGCACATGTAATCATTTTACACATTTGTGGGGAAGAATAAAAGTTCAATACTTGAAAAGATCCATCTAAACCTTTCATTAATCTTTGCGCTATTTGCTCCAGTTGGATCGTGTTGAACGCCACGATCCTCGTAGTTTCCAAAAGGTACCCAAACTCTGTCCAGAAGCAGTGTAGCCCAGACAGAACGCTTTAACAAGTGACGGCTTTGGCTAATCTGAGAAGTTGTTCTGAGAAGAACCAGCAACAGGTAGCGTCTAGGTGGGGGTTAAAATATACAAGATTTCCCCATCCCAATGGGTCTTCACACAAATCCTGAGAGAGAAATTTTGTGCCATTACTGTAAGAAACGAAGGTTTCTACTCCTCTCCCTACCTCTTTGGCCCATGCTGGTTTGTCCGAGGGGTTCACAGAGTCCTTGTAGTGGTAGAGCTGTTTCTTCTCTCCAGCCCTAGCCTCCTGCTGTTGCTGCTGTTGCTGCTGCTGCAGAGAAACCAGGTAAGCCCTCTCCTGCTGGAGCTGCCTCTGCAAGCGCTCCGCCTGCCTCTGTTCCTCGAGCTGCTTCCGTTTGTACTCCTGCGGAGAGGAGGGAGAGAAGCAGTAGTACTACTACACCCCCGACAAAAATGTAGACCCGCAGCAACACAGTGAAAAGATTTACAAATGAGGGAGTCAGCCCAGGAACTCAAGTAAGGATGATGATGGCACATTCCAGAGTAGAAACGAACTACTCGTGCACTTGGCTCTAACCTTCATTACACACCTGCTCCTCCTTTTGTTTATCCAACTATACTATAAAGAAGTCTTGTGTAAGAAAAGCTGCATTTTTAAACTGTGGAAGCAAATGAATAAGGGATCAGTGAAAAGTCAAACTATACTATCACTAAAGCAAAACTGATCACAATTGTAATTAGACTTGAGTATCTTCTGACCTCAGCAATCTGATAATTAAATAAGTAGCGTTGGAGCTAGGGGTGGATAATGGTTGTAGCATATGGGCAATTGGAGGGAGCGTGATTCTCATAGCATAATACCAGCAGGTTACACTGTCATTTTCAGAAAGATAAAAGTCACTGTTACTTCTTGAATGGACTACAGTAAAATATGGACATTTTGCACACAAACTCTAGACAGTGCTAGTAAAGATATTGGCAAATATGTGTATATAGTTCAAAAAGTAAAAATAAAATCCAGCACAGACATATACTCCACATAACCATATAATCCTTAATGGTGCATCTTTAATAGCTCTGCTGCCAGCAGATGACTAAAACGCAACATTTCGTCAGAATCTGTGTTATATTTAGTGAACCTAAACAGCAGTACAATTAATACCTATGAAGAATAATAATTTAGCATGTCTCTAGTTCATTGTGCTGCTACTCTGTTAATTAAAACACAATTTTACCACCACTTGTCGCTGCGAGCGAACAGTCTTCTACCTGGAAAGGATCAAGATATCTGAAGAGCAGTGGGGGAAACGTGACCGTGTAACGACGGTAATTCCTGTTACAAACGGAGTTGACCCGAGATGGTTGAAGTACTGACTGCTTCCACCCTAAATCATATTGCAGTTGTCTTGTTTAATAAATACAAAGTGTGTTTTTCCCCAAACAGTATGATAATCTCTTAGCTTTTCAAAAACTAAATGATACTGTCAGTACTCACCGACAGGCATTCTAATACTCATGTGGCATTTCTAAAATTCTCTCAGAATATATAAATGGATAGCACAGCTTTAAAATGGACCAGAATGTAAAGAGAATCGGGACAAAAAAGACTGGAGGCTCTGAAGGCTCTTAGCACATGCAAGTGTCTCAGCACAGTTAATGGTGCCATCGCGCACCCAGCCATGTTGTTGAAGCCGATATCCTGACTTCTTTCAAGAGAGAAAGAATGGATGAGAACTTTGGATCGATTAGCTGCTAGCAATGAGACGCAACTGGGGCCAAATGGCCTTTCCTCATTTGTAACCTTTCTTATGTTCACTGTGACCCTGAAAGCAATTACTCACAATCGGCCACATTTGCCCTGATAAATGCAGCGCAATGTGTTTCACCGAGATAAACCCAATGTTGTCTGAAAGAAAAAACGAATAATGTCAATGAAAAAGATTTCAAGAATTCCAGTGAAGGTGTTCCTTTTAGAAAGAAGTAGAAACCAGCAATCAAGTAAGCAAATTTGATCTTAACTCTAGTTTTGAAAACTCATTTCAGAGACTTATTTTTACTATTTGTATTCTGACAAAGGATAAGAAGCCGTAAAGAGTTCAGGAAAAAGCTGCAAAAATGACAGGTAAGAGAAACTGACCCCTGATTCACAGGGTGGGAAAGCTCATGAATAGAAAACCTTAGCATAGAAAAAGAGCTTAATCCTAAATCTGTATCAATTTGTATTTCTACAGTACTGTGACCCAACAGAATCATTTATAGAGGGGATGAAAAATAAATCTGATGGGTCCTTTAGGCAGCTGACTGCATGCTGCTGACTCAAACACAGACAAGCAGATTTAAGTCTGGAATATTTGCATTCCAAGTCATTTTCATGTATCTCCAAGTCATAGACTGATTCTAGAATTAACACAGGAAATAATTAAAAGAAAGGTAATATCTTATTCATAACATGACGCAGGTTATTCGGAACAAAATTGATGCAAAACAAAAGGTATTACAGGTAAGTAACTGGAGTACTAAAGTTATAAAAAACTTTGTAGGCTGAAGGAAACAATTAGACACTCCTTCCAAAACTGGGTCTATATACAGTTTAGTCTTATCATGAAGACTCACTGTACAGTAGATCAAAGTACCACAATGCTATTAGAGAATGCAACACTATATCATCTCATGGATGGGTAGGTGAGGAGTGATTTTGACTCTTGAGCACTGCATGGAGAACTCTTAATTTATATAGTGATTTCAGAATTAAAAATGGTTGCATTTGTATATAAAAGGTCATGCATTCAAAAATTGTTACAAACTCTAGCCATACAATTTCTTATGGAACTATATCTAGAAGCAGTTGCAACAGCAAAGGCTCATTTTACTTAAAATAAAGTTTACCATCCACACATACTTTTGCACAACTAGCCAAGTACAGTATATATATCTAACAAATACAGAGTACACATTTGTACGCTGTATACTGAACTTAATATGTACATTTACAATATATAGAGTTAGACAAACATGTTATAATTAAAGAGTTTTCTGTTGAACCAAAAAGGCTGATCATTTGTTCTGTAAAAGTAATTTCTAAACTAACATTCTTTCAACAGCATGCAATGGATGAGAGAGACACTGTTTCAGCCCCCCTAAATAGTTTTCACCTCTCATGAAGGAATAAATAATCTTAATCGCCTACACAATTATCTACTTCCAAAAAAAAGTCTTTCGGAACCTTTAGGCCAGTCACCGATCAATCCAATAACTGATCAATTATCCAATCAGCCTTTGCTGTCTCTGGTCCTACCACAGTGGAAACATCACTGGAACATGAAGAGGCATGCAGACAATGGGACAGCACAGCACGACACACAGCAGAGCAAGGGAGCTGGGGAAAGGCCAGAGCCCACTCCTTTACCAGAAGAAGAGCCTGTTCCTGCAGTAGCTGCTGCTGCAGGATCTCTAACTGCCTCTGCTCCTCCTCCAGCTGACGCCTGATATACTCCTGGAGGCGCAGTCAGCAAGCAGGAGAAGGGAAAGAAAGAGAGGCAGTGATTCACACACGTAAGACCGACCCAGGTGGAAAGAGAAAAAAAATGGCCACGTCGAGTGCTTTTAATGTTTTCCGTGCTGTATCTTGGAAGCCGGGGAGAGAAAGGGAGAGAGAGAGAAATGTTGAATAACACAGCAACGGGCCTCTTGCCAGTGTTTGGGAAGGGAGCGGGAACAGTTTGAACATCTTTTATAAACCAATAAGGAGCAATTTCAATTAAAAAAAAAAAACTTAAAAGAAGAAAAAAGTACAAAGACCACCACTAAACAAATATACGACATAAAGTTATAATCATAGACTACCAAAGCTTTCTCACAAATTATAACACGGCTGTAGTATTTCCTCTTTATGATTAACTGGACTGCTCGAATCTTATTTGTTTCACTGACCTGTAGTTCTGCCTACAATGTAGTTCTGCCTACATTGCCAGTCCTTACTAGCCCTGTCATAGCACACATTATACTAATGTACTGTAGCCCTGGAAAGGGAAGAAAATACACCACACTGCAAAATATCTAGAGCTCTTGTTGCTTTATCAAGTTTTAACTGGAATTGCTTCAATTATTCACTATGATGCTGACTTCAAAACATTTTACATGATATTATCAGGATTTATTTAGTCTTTTTTTTCTCCCTGCCAATAAAGTACTAATTCAATGCCCTTAGCTCCTTTTTCAGTGTGTGATGTGCTAATAATTCACAGATTCCCTCCTATCCATCAAATTCATGCAAAGTAACAGAGGAGATGGTGGAGATATAAGATAGCAGCAATTTTATCCCTTGTACTGACTTACTGACCGAGAAAGTGATACCACTGATAGAGCGAATTTGCATTCCTTCCTGTCCTCTGATTCATTATAGCACTTACATGTGCAGCTGTAGTGCTGGAAATCTAATAAGCAATAGACAGTGAAGATACAGACCAAAATGTACTGTATTCACAGTAACTAAAGCAAAACAATAACAAGCAGAAACAGAACAAGTTATCTCAACATTCTGATTCCCAGTAACATGTATTTAAACAAATATATGTGAAGCACTAGCACACACAACACATTACGCTTTGACAAGGAGCTGAAGCATTTGAAGTGCTCATCACATCTGCTACATTTTTAGCATTCAGGGATATGGACCTGCTCTCTGCGAGAAGGAAATAGCTTGAGCTAACTGTGACAGACGGCTTTCTCAACCTGTTCACCTCTGGAGAAAGTAAACTGAGCTGTGAATGCATGGGCCTTCCTGGACACTTGGTAATCACTGATCCTCAGTGTCCACAACCCTCCCTCGCTCCTGCAGCACTGCTCACTGGCCTAGGCAACATGACCTCCATGCCCTCACTGCCTGAAGAGAGATTATTAAAGCAGTCCCCAGCTCCAGCCCAGAAATGGTTTTCTTCAATATACAGTGCAGTGCAGGACAGGAACTCAAAGCTAAGAATAAAAAAAAACCAAAAAGGGGCTTATCAAGTCAAATACACGAGAAGGGAAGATGAATTCTGTTGTTTTTTTTTTGTCTTCCAACTTATCATTTAAACTGAGTCCAGAACAAAAAATAATACAGTACATTTCCTCGGGCAAACTCCACACTATTCCTAAAGCATACAAATATTTCTTCCCTATTGCCTGCTCTAGGAACACCTAATAAAAAAAAAATCATTCTTAATGAAAACCCTGAATGTCTTCACTTTTAAGTCTGTATTTTGTTGTTAGGAATTCAAAACACAACATTGTTGTGTTGTTTTTGGACACTCAGGAAGAATTAAAAGCACACTAACACATCACATAAATGTGTAAGAAACCCTGTCTTCTGAGATCTTGAGTCGGTGGGTGTTGGCTGGCTATTTATAGAAAGCTGGCACAAACTCTTAAAACCCTACAGCTAAAGGGAGCAGATCATGAAGTATTACTGTAACATAAGGAGCTAGAGAAGAGGATTGTGTTGGATGGGCTAGAGAGACCTTTTAGAGGTCTTTTACAAGAGATTAGACATGTTGTTTCGCCTTTTCATTTTCATAAAATAGAGATTGCGTCTCTTCTGCGGCACCCAGAGCAAGGGGTCAAAACTAAATTTCACCTGTCACTCAGACGCTGCCACACCTGGACAGAAGCGAAGTTTCTTTCCCTTAAAATGAGTTCAGATGTGTTAAAATGACATTCTCCTCAGTCTACTGATGTGTTTTCCTTCGCGCAGTAATACGTTGCTCACCAACAAAAATGCCCAACGTCAGGACCTAGGTATTTTTTAGGATACAGGTATTTTCAAAACGTGGGGCAGTTCAAACTGAGAGATAACAAAATGTTTAAGGGGAGGAAATTCCAGGCGGACATGTTAAAAGTGTCTTCGCCACCAAAAGGTCAACTCCGGCTTCTGATCACTCGCCTCGCCTCAGCCTGCACGTGACTGGCACGTGAAAGAAAGCCGGGGTAAGTCAGCGGCAGGGGTCGCGCGCCCACACGGAGCGCGCGCGGGCTCCTGGGGGGGGCGAGCTGGGCGTTACCTGCTCCCTCTCCGCCTGCCTCCTCTCCTCCTCCCGTCGCAGCTGCTCCATCTCCTCGTACCGCCGCCGCTGCTCCCGCTCCTGCTGTTTGCGGATCTCGCGCTCCCGGCGTTGTTGCTGCCCAACGACAGGTCAAAGGTCAGCGCGCAACACAACACACCCGTCGGTCCATCGACATGTCCCCTCTCTTGAGCCGTAAAACGTACTGTATCCTAGCCTAGCCGCTTTCGGCAACCAAATTCTCTGTTTCAATTCTCTTTTCACGTGATTGTATAAAAATGTGAAAAGCCTTAATGTTGGGGAAAAAAGGGTGTCCAATTAATAAAATGCTCACGTCACGCAGGCACTAGGCCTCAGTTAAAGGTGAAACTCCCAAACAGATTTTTAAACTATTAAAAAATGTTTGGAACGTGGTTAAAAAAAATGAAGAGTTATGAATTCAAGTAGACTTTGCCAAGAGATGTTTCACTAGCTGTGCTTGAGCCAGAATTCTGACACTTAAAAATGTACATATCAACCATTCCTAATGCTGAAGATTTATATAATAATGTATTTAACACGTTTTTTTAAAGTCAAAGCCCTTGATTTTCCAATCCCTTGGTATACCGCATCAACAACAACAACAAAAAAAAATGAGAAAACTTAAAAAAAACAAGCAGGATTGTGGAACAGTATTCTACTTTGTGTTCATAGAAAATCTTTACGAATTCATCTGCCTTGTCTCCCTCCACACAGAAGATACTGAACAAAACAATGAAGTGAACTCTCGGTTTTACAATAGAAGTACTTAACAGTGTGTTTGTTATGAGGCTGATGTGCTGTCAGATGATAAAAATTTCAAGGAATGGTAGCTGTAATTAAGGAACAGTATGCTGTGTCTAAACATTCCAATACTTAAGTAGTGAAACATGTTTTTTTTTTAATATTTTGCTTTCAAGGTAAATGTTTACACCACGTTGGGCACACTGTTTAGCAGGTGCATAATTCGAACAACTACACAACTACGCTGTGATTGTTTTCCACTAGATGGCAGTATTGTATATGATAGTTTTCTGCATTGTATGACTGATAGCTGGCTTTTTTTGGTGCTGGGTTTACTAACATAAATGATGATTCCCCCCGACATAAAGAAATCGGAGGAACCTTGAATACAAAGGAACTAGAGAATATGAAATGTGTTGTTCCAGGTGGTGCATTCAGCTGGGAATACAGCCAATTCTTATCATGCACCTTCCCTGTGCAAAGAATCCCAGCTGCAACAGCGCTGGCAAAGCAGGTGCCCGAGCTCTGAGATTTAACAGCTGAGCAAAGTTTTGAAAGGGTAACTGGCTGCCTTGAGAGTAACAAAGAGGTGTCACCCATACAATGCCCAACACAACAGCATGGAAGGACAAGAGTATAACATACTGGGGGGCCTTCTTGTTGGCTCTT